CGACGCTCCGATCCCGGTGCTCTACAAAACGAACGAGCGCACGAGTACACTCTTTGTTTTATTTCGTTTCTCCGCTGAGCTGAAACTGCTGCTCGGTTCGCGAAATTAACGAAGAAACGCACCGCGGATATTCGTTGCGCGGGCCAATTTATTCGAGCGTGCGTCGACAAATTTACCGTGAGTTTTTATCGGTTTTACACGCAACTTCGCGAGCTAAGTCGATAAACGATTCCACGACGCGGAAAGGCGTAATTCTAAATCAACGCGAATCCTTTGTCATACGGAAAGAAAGACGGATAAGAGGAAAGCTTGCCGGTCTCCTCTCGGGATTCAGCGCTTCCGAGCACGTACAGCCCGACGGCCGGATGCGAGCCAAAGAAGGAGCAAACGTACGCCGAGAGGAAAACGAATTCTAACCGCCTTCGCGTTTCTTCGCGGAACATTTCTCTCTCTCTCTCTCATTCCCTATTCACTTCTGGCTTTCCGTTCGCGTCGTCCCTGTTTCAAAGGGACCGGCATATTTCTCATTTTATTATTTATGCAAACGGGTCAGACCACTCGGGGGTAAACGAAATCGTTATCGATGGGAAATCGAGTCGAAATCGCTCGAGGGCATTGGCAAATTGCAAAGTTCATGCGTGGCGCAGGCAGGACAAGACGGAGGCAAATGCAGTTCATCCAGCGAGATCGAAATTCGCTCGGTCCACCGCGACCAATTTAAAATTTAAAAGCTCGCGTTCGGAGATCGCGAGAGGAAAGAGAAGCCGACGCTTCGCTTCGACCTCGATTCGTTCGTGGAGACGGCAGAGGATTGATCGTAATTAGGTCAGCGCGCGAATGGCGAGCACTCGCGCGATTCGAGTGAAACGCGAGCTGTCGCGAGAACGACGGTTCTTGCAAGATTCAAATTCGCACCCCGCGTCCGAAGGGAAACTGGGTCACGTCGTGATCCATCCACGCCGGTCACTCCCTTCTGATTAAACGACCGACCTCTTAAAGGAAGCTGTAGTCGCGAGACGAAGATGTTTAAAACCGAGTTGCCGATTTCCAGATTGACAACCAACGGACGGACGCACGGCTGGCGACGGGATTTGACCCGACACGGTCCAAGTTCGCGCACGGCGGCTATAACTGGGTCAGCAGGATGGCGTTACGGCAGACTAGAAATGGCCGTTTACTCGGTAAACGCAAAGTGCATCCCTCCGTTACGGTCGCCGTCGTAAAGTAACGTGCACTCGCACCGTTGGGTGGGCGGTGTGCGCACGTACCGAGCGTGAAATAAAGTGACCCGACGCGACGACCGGAGAACGACGATGCGAATTACTCTTTCTCGCGATCGATCAGCCTCTCTTCTCGGGAACTCGTCTCGTTCGTGCTCGTCAAAAGAGATACGGTGATCGGGACGGACAGAGGAAACGCGAGCGTGCGTTTCGCGCGAGTGCCTCGTTCGAACCTCCTCTCGAGCGGAGAAATCTCGAAACGAATCTCGGGTGAGCACGTGTCCTCTAAGGGCGGAGAGAGGAGCCAGGGTGCAAGCGAGCGTAAAATAAACGGATGCAATCGTCGGGGGGTGAGGACTCGGTGCAGAGTGATACGAATAATGATAGAGGGTCGGTTTCTTACCGTCCAACGACACGCAATGCCTCCAGACGAATATACGCATCTCCGTTCGGTGGGGTTTTCGCGCGACAACAGAGATTTGGATATCGGTAACGACAGGGATCCGTTCGGTGACACTCGTCTCGATCTCAAGGTGCGTCGCGGAGCAGGTCCTCGCATCGGCGACGTCGGTCGGCCGCAAACACGCCGCGGACCGAGGTCGAACGACGGTCGAGCATCGTCCGAGTCGAGCCGTCCTCGCCCCGAGGATCGGCCGGTCGATAACGATCTTACGCGAGAGAACGATGCGACGTAACTGTTCTCGGGGCAGGAGCAAGAACAGGAGGAGCAGCAGGAGCAGGAGCAGCGGCCAGAGAGGGTGAGAGGGTGGGACACAGGCGCTGCCGGTGCCGCTGCTGTTCTCGCTGCCGGAGCGAGAGGTGCCACTGACGATACCAGTGGTGGTATCGCGACCGCCGATAGCGGAAGCGAGCGCGGGGGTGTGTACACACCCGGGACACGACCGAGAAGAGAACGGAAAGAACACCTTCGCCGGTGAAGGAGAGCGACGGGAGGAGAGAAACGCGAAAGGGGTCGCGGGACGAGGTGCGAAGAAAGAGGAAAGGGGTACGCGGTCACCTGCGCGCAAGCGTCGAGGAACCGTGTGACAGGGTGTAGCCGGTTAGGCTGTCGACCCGAGACCCATACAGGTGAGGGTTACGCGTCCCTTCGCCCTTATCCCACTGCCCTCGACGTTTCCAGGAATCGGGACGACGACCACGGGGTTCATCCGCCTCGGGACGGTGCGACGCACCCGCGAGACCACGCGAAAACGCAGGGGCGAAGGGGAGAGAAGGTGATCGAGGGAACCGTTGGCGAGGAGGAAGATCGCTGGAGGCCTCGACTCGACCTTGTCGCATTCGTATCGTCGCGAGGATCGACGCGATTCCCGCGGGACGACCGCGAGAAACGAGGGAAAAAGGGAGAACGAGGAAGAGCGTGCAGCGACGTCGTCGCTTACCTTCTCTGCCGAATTTTCGTTTCTTCTTGCCGAGGCTGGGGCCGCCGGCGGAGGAGCTCTTCCCGGAGCTCTTGTCCTTGCTCTTCCAACGCATCAACATGTTTCGCGAACGCTTCAGCGCCTCGGGGGTATCAGCGTCGTTGCGAGGGAGTTGGACCCCGTCCGGTCGCGCACTGTTCCCGCTCGGTCGTGGTCCATCGTCACTCGGACTCGCGGACTCGTTCGATCGTTCGTTTTCCCAATGTCGAAGGGAGAGATACGCGTCGCGAGGTAGGAAGATCCGAACGCGGTCTATCCGTTCGGAAGATCGAGAGATCAAAGGGAATGCCGGGTAGAATACGCGAGGGACGGTCGCCGCAGCGTCCCGGCGCGGCGCCCGGCACTCGTCACGTCGCCATCTTTCGGATGCAGAGAGGTTCTCGCGGAGGGTGTACTCGACCGTGCCACCAGACAGCCACCGAATCGGATCACTGGGTCAAAGGAACGCCGGCCCTGCTTCCCGTCTCTCCCGTTCGGGACGCGAGGATGAATGAAATTAACCGTGAACGACGAAGGGACGACCTACCCCTCGAGTTCGGAGGGTGCAGCTTCGGATCGGGGACGAATCGGAGAGAATGAGAGACCGGCGCGTCGATGGGGCGGGTCTGAACCGTTTGCCCGGCGATGCGCGAGGACCCGTGAAAGATTATAGAATCACGCGGAAGAAGAAGGAGAAGAGGAGAAGCGAGAAGAATACGATCAGCAGAAAGAAGACGAGAAATATTATCAGGTGTACCCTGCTGACCATGTTGACGCGATTCGGTGGTACTCGTCGATCGATCTTTCCACCGACGAACCGCACTGTTCCTCGTTTCCCACACGAATCGCACTTGCCACCAAATCTTCGGAGACCGAACGCGGTCCGGGGTCTCGACCGCGTCGCGAGACCGTGCGGCGAGACGAACCGGAAGTTGGAAACGCGACTGAACCGGCTCGAAACCGCTGCCGCCGCCCTCGAGGATCCTCCGTGCTGATTTCTCCCCGACTAACGTCTCTCGCCGCGGAGGCGCCCCGCTCTCCTCCTACGCGGACACGCGTCTTCGAAGGTCGCGATCGATCGCGCCCCTTCGGATTCGAAAGGCGAGACCCCGAGAGTATGCCGGACGTGGGAAACGAGATACGAACCGCCACCGGCACCGGCACCCGGCCGCCACTACCGACCGGCACGACCAACCACCCACTACCGGCACCCACTACTGCCGTTGTCCGTTCGCTACCTATGCGTCGAGGTGCGTGAAACCAGCGGCACCACCGTCCAACACCCGAAAAGCCGCACGGACGAACGTCGTCGTCGTCGTCGCCGGGATCTGCCCGGCACTGCGACCCCTCTCCGTTCTCCCTCTGAGAGACCTCTCGCTTCGTCCCCCTTTTCCTTCTTATCCGTCACCACCCGTTCCCGCTTCCCACCGCGTGACGTCACGGGAATGGAGTCGGGGATCGATCCCGAACGACCACCCCCCGCGCCCACCCCGATTCCGCTACTCACCGGACGGAAAACATCCGTCGGATTCCCTGCACCCTCCGCGATCCAGGATCGATCCTGCCTGCCAACTTTCTTCCCGAACCCCGCATATCGTCGCCGCGAATCTGCATCCAAGCCGTCCTAATTTCCATACATATTGAACGCTGTATCGACGTCGACCCAACGAAAATTCGACGAACAATCCGTGCCGGCTAGACGACGACTTTGATCACGAATACGATCGACCGAATTGGCCGACGAACGACTCGTGTGAGGAAGCGCGGATCGATGAAAAACGATCGCGAATAAGGATCGAAGGGACCTCGGAACCTCGCCGTGTGCCGCGAGCGCTACGACCGTAATGAAAATGAAATTGCGAGGCGATAACCGTCGCGAAATCGTATTTACGGAGGATGGGTAGGTTTACGCAGAAGCGTAACGACGAGGAGGCTTAAAGCGTAAGAATGAGGTTCGTCTACCGCGAAACGAGAACGTGCCTCTGCGCTTTCGGCGCTCTCTCGGTTTGCCTTGAGAGGCTCATTGAGATGCACGGTCATACGCGGCGTGCCACGCGGTTTCCACCTTCCACGGATAAAATCACGACCGAGTACGCCGCCAAAAGAAATTGCCCGGACGCTCTGGCTCCCTCGAGCAAACCATTCGGATTAAAGTTAAGGAACGCGATACGGAACTCAACGGGGAGATCAACGGGGCACCGATCTTAACGTACGTTTCAGTAAGCAGCAGATTATACGCATCGTTCAAGGATATACATATAGAGCATAATACATACATATAGAGCATAAAGTGTCGAGATCGAAATGTAAGAGGTACCATAAAAATGTAATTAACACGTAAAGAGTCATGTTGGACACTCACCCTTCTGCGGTCGTTGAGCGCCGGTCGGTGGTCGAGGGGAGTTCCACCGGACGTCGCCGCAAGGGACGGTTCCTCCTGGTCCGATCCTCGGGTCCTTGGGAAGAGGCGGCAGAGGTCTGTCGGCGTCGTACTCGTCGGTTCCGGCCTCGCGTTGATGCAGAAACACGGAATCCGTGTCGGAGACACTGTCTTCGCTTCGGTGCCTCCGGGTCGGCGGTTCGGGAGCGGTGCCGCGCTTCGTCGGCCAATTTCCAGTGGCCAGATCTCGTCCACCCGCGGCCGATTGATTCGAGAAGCTGACCCTCTTCGCGCCACTTCCGGTCGCGTACTCGACCGTGGTCGGTTCTCCGCCCACCAAGCTGCCTCTTTTGAATATCGGAGCCGGTGGAGCTTTTCCGTCCTCGTAGATCGAGGAGACTTGCAGCTTCCTCGGTTGCGGATCGTTTCGGTGGAAGTGGGGAGACGCACTCTTGGATCTCTGAGCCTCCTGCCTGCTCGCGTCTACAGGCTTCGACGGGATCTCTCGTCGATCGCGAATCGCCTGCTGCGGTCGGACGATGAGAACCGGCTGGTTCTGCCCTTTCTGAGTCTGCATGAGCGGCGGTTTGCCCGTGGGATTACCTTTCGGGCAACGAAGATCCCCGCAACCGGGCATCGAAAGATTCTGAACGGATTCCTGCTGCCTCGCTGCCGGTGTTCGCGTCGGATTCTTTGCTCGAATCTTGCATCGCGCGGTCTCCTCCATCGCGTTCTGCTCATAGATGCGCCTCTGTTGCTCCTCGTCCAACTTCTTGAGCTGCTGCCAGTACACGGCCTCCCTGACCTCCGGTAAATCAATTTTTCGACCCATCTGTCTCTGACCGACGTTCGTCGGAGACGCGAGGGACTTTCTGTGGGCCTCGAGCGCCTTTTGCTGCCAGTAGAACGCCTCCAGATGTTGCCTCGTCTGTTGCTTCGAGGGAGACAACGATCCCGTCGCTGTCCGCGATCCATACATTGGTTCACCGATTCTCTGCACGTACGAGACTTCGATTTGTTGTTGTTGCTGCTGCTGCTGCTGCTGTTGCGGAACGCGTTGAGCAGCTATCGGATTAGGATTTCTCGTCTGCGGACTCGTGGGTTCGTTCTTCTGAGGACTCGAACGCGTCCAAGCTACCGTGTCCTCGGGATCCTTTCTCTGAACGTTGACCCGCGTTGGAGAGCCAGGGACTAATTGGCCACCTCTGTGACCGTACACAGGTTCTGGTCGCGGGATTTTCGCGGGGGATCCTTGCCCTCTCGCGGGGGCGACGTTTCCGGCCGAGTCTTGGCCGCTCGCGTCGAACGAGTCGACGAGCTCGCGAGGCGCGCTCGTTATCTGTACGGGCGATTCCCTGGCGCAGCGCCTGGACTCCGTGGGTCGTGGTATTCGCGTTTCGAAGGATTCTCTCTTCGGCGAGGCTATCAAGATCTGTTCGTTCGGACGAGATCTTCTGGAGAGCGACTGTCGCGACGGCGAGATCGGTTTACCTCGAGTCTCGCTGGTCGACGGATCGAGAGTCGCGGGTTCTTCTCGTCTCTGCGCGTCCTCGCGTTTTTCCGCGCTTTCTCTCGGCGAAACGGAGCGTTCGATTCTTCGACGAGGCGAGGCGGTTCTCCGATTCAGCGCGTCCTCGTAAGAACCTTTTTCGCACGGCGACGAGGGCGTCTCGTCGTAGATTCGTTCGTCCATGCAACGAGTCGAAGATCTCGACGGCGACTTCTCGTTCTCGTAGATCCCCTCCTTCTCGTTGGGAGAGGCGCTGTTCCGAGGCGAGTGCAGATAGTACTCGCCGCTCTTGGAGCTGGTCGGCGAAAACTCGCTCTTCTGGCTGGAATTCGGCGTACAACTCGAATCCCCGTAATCCCCGGACTTGTGGCTCGAGCCGGAGGAGAGATACTTGGGCGATCTCCCGACCAGCGGTGCTCTCTGATTCTGATTCACTATGGGCTGCCTAGTGATCTTCACTTGAGCCGAAACCGATTTCAGGATCAAACCGGACGTCGGATCGTTCTCGTAGAATCCCGGCTCGCTCGGATGACGTTGCTCCCGCTTCCCGTATCCGATTTGCTCGCGCGTCTCGTCCTCTTCCGCCAGGTAATTCTCGTCGTAGTCGATCAGCTCCGTTCGGGAGCGAGGGATCGCGGGGAGAGGCCTGTCGATCGGGTGGATCGCTCTGGGACGGACAAAATATCTCTCGGCGGGCGGGGCGGAGATCCTGCCCGACGGGCCGTGATTCCTTTGGAAGAAGTAAGGCTTCGGTTCTTGCAAGCTGTGCTTTCGCTCCAGTTGCCCGTACCTCTGCCCGAATTCCTCGCGCTTCTGCCTCTGCTCGAACTTGCGGATGTCCGGAGATATACCGAGATTCCGCTCGTTGTTCCACCTGTCGTCGGGCGCGATCGAGCTCAGACTCGAGTCGGTGGTGTACGATCGCGGGTGACCCTGATCGCGCGCGAGGCTCCGATCCTCGTCCCTGGCCAAATGATCCGGAGTGCTGGTAATGAGCCCCTGCTCCGGGAACAGTTCCCGCTTGATCTCGTCCAGTCTCTCTTCGATCATCGATCCGTTCAAGCTGTTGTCCAGCTTCACGTTCCTCTTGATGTCTTCGTTCAGGTTCATCGTGTCCGGCGATCTCGTGTAGTTTCCGTTCTGTTGGTACCGAGCGAAGTACCTGTCGTCAGGTCTCTTCCGATCTTTCCCTTCCTTCTTCTTGTATTCCTTCCGCGAGTCCTTCGGTGAGAAGAAGCCCGGTAGCAGACGTCGAAGCCCGAGCTTCTTCTTTGGCTTCTCCTCTTTTCTCGCTCGCGAGCATCCAGCCTCCATCGTGAATTCTTTTATCAGACTCGCGTACCCGTCGATCCTCGAATCTCGCGACTCCTCTTTCCACTCGCTCCCAGCTAATTCCTCTTGCCGCTCCGATTCCTCGCACTCATCCTCGCGCGCTGTTTCGATTTCTCCTCGCGCCTCGATGTCCTCGTCCAGCGACTTGATCCTGTCCTCCAAGCACGAGCCTGAACCGACCGTGCTCAGCGTACTGTCCCCGAGATTCTCTTCCGACGTTTGGTTTCCAGAGAGATCTATCGCCGAATGGCTGCCGAACTCGGTCTTTCGATCTTCCCGCTCGAACCGTTCGGAATCGTCGTACTCCTCGACGCTCTCCCGCGAGGAAACGCTGCACTCTTCCACGTAAGAGGACCTGGACGACTCCGAGGAGCGGCGATCCAGTTGGTTCTTCAAGAACTCGCCGGACCACCTCTTCTCCACCTCGGACACCTTCTCGCTATAGCTGGGTCTCGCGTTCTTTTCGGTTAACCGAGGTTCCTCCTCGTTACCCTCCTCGTCGAGTCGATCTGTGGTACCCGTCGGTTCGTACTCTTCGATTTTCAATCTCTTGTCCAGATTGTGCTTCTGGAGGAACTCCTCGTCGAACGCGACTCTACCCTTCTCGTTCGCGTTCGAGTCCACAGGCTTCAGCGCCTTCTCTCTCGACTCCAACAGCTTCCGCTTGTACTTCTCCGCCGTGTCGGCGTCGATCTTCGTTCCCAAGTTCTGCTGCAGCTCCTCGATATTCGTTCGACTCTTCTCCAGGCGATTTTTCGCATTGATCTTTTCGATCTCGTTCTCCTCGTTCTCTCCCTGAACGTCCGTCTCCTTCTCTTCCGTCTTCGACGGAACGCTTTTCAGTCCTGCGATCACGATGCTGCCGATGGAAGGCCTCTTGGTCAGCCTTATCGGCTTTATTCTGCTCGCCTTCTTGATTTCGTTGATTCCCAATTCGGGTTTCGCGTATTCTTTGGGAATCGTGTCGCCGGTTTCGGATTCGATCGACAGCTTGCGAGAGCTCTCGTTCTTCGTCAGGAGAACCTCGCGCGACCCACACGAGGACTCGAGCACGATTTTCTCGACGGTGATCTTGTCCACCGAGAGGACTCTGTGCTCCTTTTTCTTTTTATCCTCGACTTCTTCCGCCGTCTCCATCTCTCCGCTCCCAGCCTACCGCCGCCTGAAATTCCAATAATTGTCCTACATGTCGCAACGTCGTCGAATCGATCGTTTCGTCGACAGTTAAATACGATCTGTTTACGAATCTTACTCAACGAAATTTCGTTTAATCAAGGACGAAACTTTTTATTACGGATAGGTCGCAGACTATGCAGGCGCCAGGATAATATCAGCGGTCTGGCCACGGTGTCGCGTTACCTTGATTACGAGAAACCGATCTCAGCGCGTTTATCTCGCGCTACTCGATTACGTGACTCGTGCCCGCGAAAGAATGCACCGCTCTCTAATTTCCAGCTGTGCATACGACTCATTTCTTCGCGAAATTCTCGGAATTTCCCCGGCGCGGTACTACGATTTTAACCGGAACGGAAGCGAGAGCAACGACCGTAACCGATTCCATCTGTCTACTTTGTCACGTTTCTATTACAAATTTTGTATTGTTAACGAAACGCCGTGAACAATTCAGCAGTAACTGAAAATTGTATTGGACGACACGAAAAAAAAGAGTCTAATTAGGCGTTCATTAATTTATCGTAGTTTCTCGTGATACCGTTAGCTTTCCTTTCTCTCGCGACAAAACGTTTTCACGTGTCCGAGAGCAGCTGGGTCGACCCCGGCGATGCGCCGAAACGAAGGGAAACGCAATACACGTATCGCGCATAAATATGCGCCTACTTGAAATTAATACATTAGAGTCAGTTTACGACTCGCGATTACAAAAATATACGCTGTCGCCATCGATTGCGCAAACGCTTCAGTCAGGGTCTGACGTAACTGTATGAGAAAAAATTGTAAGCACGCGAACAGGAGGCTGGGAAGGTAATTTACGAGCGGGATGCTCGATTCGCGGTTGATTCTCAGATCGTAAAAGGGGGACTCCCTTAATTTCCCCCCGGCTCCTACGTTACCGTGGCCCTCGTTATCCTATTACCGTGGTTAGATAGCATCGAAAGGAACAGAAATTTTCGCAAAATTTGAAGGGGTACCCCTTGGAAAAATCTCGAAAAAAATGAAAATTTTTTTTTTCTCAAAATATCGAGAAATACTTTAAATAAAAGTTGTAGATACTACTATTACCTATAAAAAAGGTCTTCTACATCGAATACTGCAGGACTAATCAATTAATTAGTTCGTTCATTACCAATTACTCTTCAACGAGTAAATTATACGGTCGGTCCAGCATCGACAAGTGTTTTGCTTTCTACTTTTTATTTCGGTGGCAACGTATTCTAAATGGCATCAAAAATTGCCGACTTTTTCATGCAAAATGAAGTCCTAAAACGCTGCCTCTCTTTAATAATCTCTCCTCGGTGGCTCGAGTAATCGTCGCTGGAAATGCTTACGTAAACGAGAAACGGCGAGGACGTTCGCGTTACGAAACAGCCAATCGCGATTTCAAAAATCAGAGCAAAAAAAATGTGCAATAACAATTAACGACAGGCCCGTGCCGCATTCTTTTTATCACCGATTCGTGCCTACAACGACTATTTGAACGCAGCCGAAAAATATTCCCCGAACGGCGGATATTTAACCGGTAAGAGATCGCGTTTCGTGGAAGCACTAGTGCAATTATCAGTTGATTATCAAAGGGAACGTTCGATAAGCATCGACCCTAGTTTGTATTATGATAAACTGGAAGAACCTGAGTTGTAAAACCGCGGTTTGAAAAAAGTGTCGCGAGATTTGTCACCGAACCGCGCGTGTCACTGACACCGAGAGAAGATCTACCGCCTCTCTTAAAGCCTGTATGGGAACGTCGCTCGGTACGCGTGTCAAAGGTTAATTACCAAATTGGCCTATCCGACGGCTTGTCTCCTGCTATCCTTTTTCCATGGAACCTCTTCTCGCGACGAAGAACGAACTCTTTTGGGAAAAAGATCACGAGACACTGAACTTGCACCGAGACAGACCGTCCGATCGATCCGGCGGCTAATATCGTTAACCGTGACCGAGACGCGAGCAGAGAACGGAACGAGGAGGCAAAAAGGCGAAGAAGCGCGGGATCCGAGCCGAACAACGGAGGGAGAGAAGAATTAATCGAGAGAGGAGAAGGAACCGGGAAGGGAAAGGAGCAGGAGAAGGAGGAGGTAGAGGCAGACGGCGCGAACGATGCCTGTGTGGTGACTGACGGCGTCTCGTTCGCGTAATGCGCGTACAGCGAGCGAAACAAAAGGTGGGGGACAGATGGAAAGAGCCGGACCGTGTCTCTGGAACGACCGAGAGAACGGGCATCAGGTGCTGGAACGCGAATCGAACGAGGAAACGAGTCGTGAACTCGCGGTGCAATCCGAATCTGGGTTTGTACGCACGAATCGCGAGCTTTCAAGCGTCGCGGCACTGGTCCCAGGCCCAACTTTTTCGGTCGCTGAAAGAAAGAGACTCTCGGTTTTCATGCGCGAACCGAGGCCTACGTACTGACGCGCGTTGCACGGCTAGTCGAAGCGTTAACGCCGATAACGAGTCACAGGTAGGCGCGTATTTACTTATGACGCATCGCCGTATCAACGAGTTCCCCAGTGGCTCTCAGTCTCCTCCGAGGATCCTCCTACGCGGCACGCGTGATCATCGATGCCATCGAGACGCGAACGAGTCCCGACCTCGACGCCCGATTCCTCTCGCGAGGGAGAAAGGAGAAGAGAGGAGGAGGCCCGACGAAAAGCCGTCTACCTCGAGCCGTTCACCAACTTTTGTCTCGTCGATTCATCAGCGGGGGAGGAGCAGGGCACGGATCTGTCCGCAAGGCGAACGACTGCTTGCGCAACGAGAGAGTTATCGGTGTACCGTTAACGATTCGAGCGAATACGAACGGTAGCGCGAGTCTTTCCTATCTCTACGAGAGTTCCTCCGAGCTTCACCAAACATTTAACACGGAAGCGGGAAACGGTTTGGACGCGTGCCTAGACCGACGGGGTCGAGGCTCCGTCGTCTAGACTAGAGCGTCGTTTCTGCGACTCTTCATCAATATTTATGTAAGCCTAAAGCGTGCAATTACGCGAGACAATGCTGTTCCCTGCTGCATAATGCACGCGCGACCGCGTGAACCGCTGTACGAATTCGTTCGGCTGACTCCCATTTCTATGCGGAGATCGACTGCAAGAGACGCGCATCGCGTAATCCAACGGACACGTACTCGATCGTGTGAAAAATGCGCAGGCCAGAAATTCCAGAGAAGCCTTTAAAAGTACAAAGGACGGGAGACTCCTGAGAGATTTGACCTGGTCGCACCTTCGTCGACCATCTGCCTTCGCATACTTTCTGAAAGATCCACCCTCTCGTTCCCGAAGCATTTACGCGACGCCAGAAGCCCCGACGGTTTATAAACACAGCGAACGAAGACACGGTGTTCCTTCGGCACTGCAAGCAGGGCACGGCCAACGAATTCGAGCCTCTTGAATCAGCCCTCGTCCGCGATCCCATCCGTCCTCCCCCTCACTCTCTCTCTCTCTGTCTCTCTTTCTTCCTCTAATTCTTTTTCGGGTCTCTTCCTGTGCCTCGTACCCCGGGTACTCTCCCCGTACCGCGTTCGTCTCGCTTCTATGAATGAACTCTGAGAGAACGTAAACCAGCATCCGCCTATTTTCGTCGTAACGCGCGCGCCCTTCGACTTTCGTTAGGGGAGAAAATTATTTCGGTCCGACCACATCTCGAGCAAGAATCGTTACACCGCCGCTTTGTTTCGCGCGTTCGATCGTCCTTCGTACGAAACCACCGAAAAAAAAAAATGAACACTGGACAAAGAGAGAGCGTGGGTCAAGCCCGAGCAATGCATACCGAGAAACGTGCAAAAATTGTTCCATACGCCTCTCGCCTATGCGTGTACCGTACACGTATATCGCGAGAAACTGGACACTGACAGCTGGAAACTGGTTTCGAAGAAAAAACGCTCGTGTACGCTAGCCTGCGAGACCGAGACGATAAGACGGAGAGAGAGAGAAAGAGGAGCGCGAGAGAAAGAGAAAGATGAAAGCGGCGTGGACGTTTGTACACCGCGTTCATCTCGTATCACAGAGAATCTGCCAAATTTTACTGGAGTCAATTCTTTCGATACGCGGGAGCGGTTTAACGAACTCGTAACGAGATCCAAAATCGATTTCCCGATGCTGACTGGGCTGTGGCCCAGAAAACAATTCGAACGAAGCCGTTGAGGAGGAAAGAACCTCGATACGATGGTCGATCGTGAAATATCTGGCTCGATGAACGACAGAGAGTCGAAGAGGCTAGGCTCCTTTCGAGCACGCAGGAACGCACGCACGATCGCACCTATTGTACGTACCCGGCCATTGTGCTCCCTCTTCTCGGAAGAAGCAGAGATTCACCGTGAATACGAACAACCTGCCGTATTCTTCGAAATTCCTTCAAATTTTACCTGGATATATTATGTTTCTGGCTGGCAGCAGCCGCCTTCTCGACCGACACTATCCCTCCGTTTAATAATACGCGATTTAAACTTCAACCGGTTTAAAGTCGGTGCTACCGCGAAACACCGTGAAACGCTGCGAACTTCCAAACGAGTTCGGGAATTTGCATCGACGTACAATTATGATTTCAGCTTACTCACCATGATGCACCGTCTTTCAGATGCAGCAGCAATCGAAACGAGACGAAGTCCAAGGATGCACTGGCGAGGAACACGCGGTACCGACGACTCGCGCGATTCTTCCGGAGAACGATTCGAACGCACAGTTACCATTTACCGAAAGGAACGCGGCGATTTCGCTCGGGAAGTCGTTCAAAACTACTGAGGCGGTGGATCGCGACCGGCGAGAGCACGCGGGCGCCGGTCTCAGAGCGAGCGTACGTCGGCCCGACGGCGATGCAACAAGTGACAGACAGCCTCTTCGACTCTTTTAGTTCCCTACCCGGATACTTCGCCCGATGGCGCTACTGCCCGGATGCAGAAAACCACCGAATTTTCATCCGCCTGTTCCCGCCGCGCATTTCACACCCTGGACCCGGTATCGAAATCGCGTCTGTCTCGAATCCGAAGACGACCGAACCAGGTTTTTGTTACCTTTTACAGAATAGCAAGACCCTGTTTACTGACTTCGCTCGGATTCGCTCGAAAGTAATAAAAAATTCGATCTCGCGTATCTCGAGAGCGTAAACGAGTCTCGAACTTCTAGCGAATTAATAGTAGAAGGAAAGTGAATTCGGGGCCTGGATACCCTTTTGGAGAACGCTGCTAGGCACTACCGAGAGGTGACAGCACGAGGAGCTTCGCCAGCGTACCGGTTCAACGATTCAGGCAACGATTTCTACGAAGGAATTTGCAACGTTTTTTTTTCGAGTCGCCACGGCAGGAATAGAAGCCCTTCTTTACGATCGACACGATGATCGATGGAAAAACGTGGAGACAAGATCGTGATTCACGTCGCACATTCCTACAGCTACGGACCGATAGTAGCAATTGTACGTACTCGTCGCAATACCCCTTGACATTTACAGAGAAGATCCTGAATGTCTTCGAGAGGAATTTCGAGCCGACCTCCACGTGCAATTGATATTATCTCGAGAAAACAATTGTTTGTAACTCTGTTCTCTAAATAAACCGATTCAAAATCTGTTGTATAGTACGATATTGCCGTCGTGTATCGTTCACTTTCACTGCTTATGCTCGATCCGACTATAATATAAAACGCGTTCTAAGCGGGGCGATTCGTTCCTTCGCGATCGGTCGTCCTCGAACGCTTTTTAAATTCTCTTTCTCTCTCCCTCTCTGCGTCGTTCCTTTAAAGAAATCGCATATTCTATACCGAACGAGTTGGTTTCGATCGTGACAGTCGATTCGAGCGGAGGCTACGAGTTTCGAATGCATCGTCGACGACGAGTAGAAAGACGAGTCGAGGACGGTGAATTCGGTGGTGGGTGAATTCAGCTTACGCGTGAAACGGGTAATCGCCAAGGATGAGTGGACGACGGGTGGTTACGGTCACACAGTGGTAACTCCGAGCGAGAGCGAGAACGAGAGAGCGATATGTATATGTGTATATAGANTTTCACACCCTGGACCCGGTATCGAAATCGCGTCTGTCTCGAATCCGAAGACGACCGAACCAGGTTTTTGTTACCTTTTACAGAATAGCAAGACCCTGTTTACTGACTTCGCTCGGATTCGCTCGAAAGTAATAAAAAATTCGATCTCGCGTATCTCGAGAGCGTAAACGAGTCTCGAACTTCTAGCGAATTAATAGTAGAAGGAAAGTGAATTCGGGGCCTGGATACCCTTTTGGAGAACGCTGCTAGGCACTACCGAGAGGTGACAGCACGAGGAGCTTCGCCAGCGTACCGGTTCAACGATTCAGGCAACGATTTCTACGAAGGAATTTGCAACGTTTTTTTTTCGAGTCGCCACGGCAGGAATAGAAGCCCTTCTTTACGATCGACACGATGATCGATGGAAAAACGTGGAGACAAGATCGTGATTCACGTCGCACATTCCTACAGCTACGGACCGATAGTAGCAATTGTACGTACTCGTCGCAATACCCCTTGACATTTACAGAGAAGATCCTGAATGTCTTCGAGAGGAATTTCGAGCCGACCTCCACGTGCAATTGATATTATCTCGAGAAAACAATTGTTTGTAACTCTGTTCTCTAAATAAACCGATTCAAAATCTGTTGTATAGTACGATATTGCCGTCGTGTATCGTTCACTTTCACTGCTTATGCTCGATCCGACTATAATATAAAACGCGTTCTAAGCGGGGCGATTCGTTCCTTCGCGATCGGTCGTCCTCGAACGCTTTTTAAATTCTCTTTCTCTCTCCCTCTCTGCGTCGTTCCTTTAAAGAAATCGCATATTCTATACCGAACGAGTTGGTTTCGATCGTGACAGTCGATTCGAGCGGAGGCTACGAGTTTCGAATGCATCGTCGACGACGAGTAGAAAGACGAGTCGGGGGACGGTGAATTCGGTGGTGGGTGAATTCAGCTTACGCGTGAAACGGGTAATCGCCAAGGATGAGTGGACGACGGGTGGTTACGGTCACACAGTGGTAACTCCGAGCGAGAGCGAGAACGAGAGAGCGATATGTATATGTGTATATAGATATACATATAAAGGGAAGGGGAAACTGGACTCGGCACTCCAAAGTACACAGCCTCCGCGATTGCAGTTGGTGTGCTTTCGGTTCCCTCCACGCTTGCTGGACATATTCATTCTTGGCGACTTGGTGCCCGTGGTAACAGTTCCAACTTCGAACTCCGTTCATCAGACGACGCGCGGCCATTCGATATGAAGCTCGCTATATTCTCGTAAGTAGCTTTTTCCTCCCGCCCCCTCATCCGTTTTTTTTAAAAACCGCCCCGACTATTTGATCGATCGGTGTTACACGGACAGTTCGGTGACCCTCGCATTTTTAACGCTACGAATTTTCACGAGCGTCGATCGATACGTCGATGATCGACGAACGCTGATAATGACACCACCCGTTATGCAATTACGCGAATGCTTGATCCGGTAGTGAAAATCGTTTTCGATTAGACGCGCGTTCGGAGGGATCGTCTTCGAATCGGCTTGCGCAACCCCATAGAATGTTATCGAAACTTCTCTCGGATTTTACATGAGCAGGGACACTTTTCACGAGCGACTAGTAATACCGAACGTTATGTCACGAGCAGCTGCGGTCGAGCGAGTGAAATAAAAAGAAATTGACCAATTACGAGAAAGCAACCGATACTTGTTCGATTTTCGGTCGGACCGAGTCCCGACTTTTGATCCCTCGTGAAATTCGGAGAACGAAAGAGAGAGAAAGAGAGAGAGAGAGAGAGGGTCTAGTTCTCGTGACATTTGTGAGCCGCCTCACGTACACGCTCGGCTCCAAGGGTTTCTTCGTGGTAACCAATCCCGGGAGCAGCGAGTTGTACGAGCCAGAGAAAGTGAGTTTCGTACGTGAATGTCACAGGTCAAAATCCAGCTGGCGTATACGCGGATCTACCTACCCACGAGCGTGCAGCAAACGGCTCGGGTTCTCCGGTGCACACGCCGATTCTACGCATCGCGACACGCGTCTCTCCGTGTTTCCCCTCTCTCCCTTTCGCCCGCGGGAGGACGAGCAACGTCCTCGGATTCTATTTTCGATCCTGGCGAAAGTGGTCATCCGCGAACCGATAAGGATTCCTCCGAGTACTTAACGCGTCCGGCGTACGGCCAAAATTTTCCTCGAACCGATCGCGAAGCATGAGAGGGAAGAAGAGAGTTCATTGACATTCGTCGAGGAAAGCATTTGCCATGTAACAATCTTCTGCATGCTCGACCACCTTTCACCATCGCGTATCATTGCTTTTCGCGATTTCCTGCTGCAGCAGCCAAATGAAATTACAGAATGGTGGCGATCGGTTGCCTGATAGCCGTGGTCAGCTCGGCGGACGAGGACTACGACTACGAGGAGGAGCCAGCAGCCTCTCCGGTCACCCCCGCGCCCACCAAATCCTCTAGACTCGGAGGACTATTGTCCTCGAGAGGACGGGTGAACGTCGGGAGGAAACCCGCGGCCACGGCAGCCGTGAGTCCGATCGTTTATTTCTAATCGATAGAACGCCACGAAGAATAAACGATTTATACGGAAATTCAACGTGCGGAGTAACGCGCATAAACGTTTCAGTTTGCATAAACATCCGCATCGGTGCGGATTCGATGCATGTCTAATGAGTTGTCGATTAATTTTGCAAGGCGCAGTCGACCACGGCAAAGGCGATCGAGCAGCCGGCGGAAACCGAGGAAGAAGGCGAGGAAGAACTAGACGAGAATCAAGAACAGCAAGAAGAAGTTCTCACTACGACGACCGAAGCCTCCAAGAAAGTTCGCAGCGGAGTCAGACCCTTCAGGTAATCGCGACTCTACCATTATCTCGTAAAGTTTTCACTTTGTAACAACGAGATCTGTCCGTTGCAAGATCGAACCAGGATCTCTTGGCCGCGTTGAAGAGAAGGAGAAGTCAAGTGGGGACCAGCAATCACCGAGAATCCACTCAAACCGCCGCGGAATCTACGACGCCAAAATCCAAGTAACCAACATTTACGTTCGCGTCTTCTCCCGTCGATATTAAAACGCGTGCGTCGCGTATCGACGGGAGTTCGACGCCTCGTTGAAACAAATAAATTAGGAGGGTGAATGAACCGTGAATGGAACGATGTTCGTTTTAGGGCGACCACGAACAATCGCAACAAGAGCATCGGTGCCAGCGATACGAAATCGTCGGGTCGCGGGAGGTTCGGCGGGCGAGGAAGCAAGCCGTTGCAGGAAGAGGTCGAGGAGACTCAAAGAGAAGAGGTGCAAGTTAAACCGAAACCGTATCGCAGAGGATAGATCTGCGAGAACTTTCTAGCTTCGTTAAACGGGATCGGCGTCGATCTTACGATCTCGCGTCTCGAAATTCGTTCACGCATTCGAAAATCGCAACGTCGTACACGTGTACATACGCGGAAGGGGCTGTCCCTGTTCGAGGTACTTACTGTATAAATGTAAATTAATCGAATAAAATTTTTGAAACGAACACCACGGTGTCGATGCTCGTCGAGGCGGACGTCCTCGAGAACGGACCGACCTTGGACCTAGGGTCTGACGCGATCCCTTAATGAGCGACTTTCCTAATTTGCATATTTCCATACGCGCGGCCGAGTGGGATGCGAGCAGGAGAAATTCCAAGCGAGAACGATGGAATGTCGAGGGCGTGTGCTTCCCGTCGTCGTGGCCACTCCACATTCTCATCTTTTATACATCTCGCGCGCGCATTGTGTGTCTACCACTCCCAAAACTTTGAACTCCCACCGTTCCGACCTTTGTTCTTCGTCCTTTGCGGAGGAGGAATCGTTCTCGAGGAAGATGAACCCGAGAAGAATTCCGGGGGAGGAAAGAGAGAGCGAACCAAACGAAATAAGAAGAAGAGAGGAGACGGCGAAAGGCGGACTCGAGGTCCCGAAGCATGGCTGAAAGTGAGAGGCAGTATCTCGTCGGCCTTGAAGCCGCCGCAGAAGCGTTTCACTCGCAAAGACCATCCGAGCCGCGTCACGGGTCTGATAACGCGTCGGCTCGAGAAACAGCCGAACGCTATCGGGAGACCTATTCGAAGCTCTTGAGAGAACGTCCCTGATGAGACACACATTTCCTAATCATTACGACGAACGATGGTACAGAAGCGCGTTTGTACTCGACCCTATGTTCTATCGTTTCCATCCTCGTTCTTTCAGAGTACGCGAGCACAGCGGTTTCTGGATTTCTCAGTAATCGCTCGTGGATAAAAGCAACCGGAGAGAGAAGAAGCGTAAACATAGACAAGACTCGCGTCCATATGTTCCGAGACCGCCTCACTCTTGTCGTTGCATCGCGAGTGACATTTAATTGAGAGTCGCAAACGATAGGTGTCCCATGCACCGGTAATCCTTGACAGAGACGACATTCCGCCGCGAATTTCCCGTTTCGCTCGACCTCTGTCGCGCCGCTCTACCTCTACCGCGGTCTAACGCGATCTGTTTGGAAGAAAAGACGATCGTCTGCTTCGGGCCCGCTAATAAAAAATTGATTTACTCGTTTGTACGGCGGCGTTTACGTGACCCGAGAACCTTCCTACCGCGCGGTGACTTTTAACTGCGCGGCGGCGCCGCATCGAGAATCCTGCGTTGACCTTTCGATAATGTCGTCGAACCACTCGGCGCGGTGCATTTACATTTGTCTTTGAACGCCTTGCAACCTTCTCGATCGATCGAAAAAATATGCAAAAGGAATTGCTGATCGATGCAGTAACAGGACTTATTAGCTCGAGATCGAAAGTACCGGAAGGAAATTGCGTAAAGGTTCTCGCGGTCGTTAGAAAGTTTCAAACGGCTCGCGTGACGTTTCAAAAATCCGTGAGGAATTCGCTCGTTCTCAGAAGATGATCGTCTGTCGCAAAACGGAAAGTTATTGCGAAACGCGGAAACGGTTATAGAAATGCACCGCGGAGGTGTATTATTCGCGTTGCACAAACTATAACACCGTGCGTTTCGAGGAAAGACGGAATAACTCGTAATTGCCCGAGAAGAGGCACGTACGTGATCTCGGGACACGTTGCAAAACGCATCGTCGAACCAAGAATCGCGAGAGTACGTTCGAAACGATGTTTAGAAGCGATTCGCGACCGAATCACCTCCAAGTAGTCGGGGCGTCGAAGAACCGGTGTCGGCGCGATAACGACGCTTGAAAATAAAATGAACCGATGGGGAGGAACAGGAAAGGACTTTCTCCCGGTAGATCCTTACTTGCTTTCCCTGATACCGTTTCCGCAAGGATCCGGTCAACGAATCTTTTCCGCTCGTATCGACGAGATGCCTACCGGTGCCGACCAACGACAAGGTCGTCTCATCGCCAGATACGACGCGGGTCAAGCCTTTTTGGACACGCGAACTGTAGGAAACGAATCGAGATAAAAGAATAAAGGCATCCGGACCGGTTGACCGGCCGGGTGGGAGGAATCGATGACGATGCGAGGCACTTTCCATGAAATTCCTAAAGGCGCCTCGACGGGTTTCGTCATCGTCGTCGCGGATGAAATCGAGAACCATGTACCTACGTACGAGTCATCGATTCTCGATCTTGGCCCGAGAATGCTTTAGCTCGCGTTGCTCAAGGTTCACGATTACACTCGCGATGACTAGACGGCGAGTATTTATGCAGAGTTACACGAAATATGAAATCGGGACCGAGAACGATGCGTAGTTATGCACGTTCGTTACGTCAAACGCGTCAAATCAACGGAGAGGCGACCGATCGGCGCCGAAACCGACGACAACACGTTTTCTACTTCGAATTCGCTTTTACGAAGTTCGCTTTCTCTGGGCACGGCGCGGTAGGCCGCGATCGAGATCCTTATTGACGATTCCCGCTCGCGATCCGCTCTCGATCGATGTTCCCTGGCAAACAAAGAATACGGGCTGTCCAAGTGAAATCTCCGGAGTTGCAAAACATCCGCGCGTAAGGTCGGACAGCAGCCCGTTCAATGTTAAGGACAGAGAACCGGAATCTAATTTCGATCATCGCCTGTCGCTCTTCGTGGTTATTAACCCATCCGCGTTATTGGTATACGCATTATTCTACTGACTATCCCATGCAATGGTCCACGAATCGCATCGAAAACGTTCCAACAATTTCATTAAATTAAACACTGAATCGATTTTTATCACGATCGGTAAACACGAAATACCTCCTAGATGTGACTATTCGAAATTATTCCGAGCCTTCTAAACGGGGGTGTACGCGTGCTAGAACACGAACAGAGAAAGTCGAACTCGTAAATACCCATGGGTGATACGCATAGGCTTTTAACGCGAAGCGCGAACGTGCGTGCTCGGAATCCGGAGATGAACGCGAAGGTATAGCTCGCGTGAAATTTCGGCGGCATGCCGCGAAAGCCGCGAGGCTTTTGAAACAATTGAAAAATTCCCTGGAAAGTGTATCGAGAAATCGGTCGAACCGTGAAGGTCCATTGAAATGCGCCGCGAGTTCCGCGAAAGTGCAGTCAAGGTTCTCGGGTTGTTCCCATATGCACACGGCATGCGTTCCGCGCAAAGTGCACGCTTTGAAATATCCCAATAATTTATCATAGATTTATGGAGTAAGATCTCGTGTCTCGAACGAATATCGTACAGTGTTATTCTAAGTTTGCAGTGTTCCTCGGATAAATATGTATGAACAAGTTGTTCAGTACTAAGAATAATCTGAATTGAAACCAGTGAACCGATTGATGCGATATCTCGGTATTCGGTCCTGACCAATGCAACACGATCTACGATCGAATGTCTGCACGAAACATTTCCCCGATTCTTCGAACGACTTCGCGTTCATCGAAGGGAAAACCGTATCCGTTAAACAACGAAGTAGAAACGCTTCGTGGTTCTAGCTACTGTTCGCCAGTTGCGAAAACGACAAAGGGTTGCCTACGCGATTTTCGAGATGCGTCACGACGATGGCATCCCGAGATACGTTTTGCAACGCGATGTGCATTATTGCAAAAAAAATAGAGAAGAAACTCTGTAGGTTTAACGAACGAACGGGTGGTCGTAGTTTTTAATAAACGCGTCGGTACGCGTATTTACGTGCGTAAGCAGTCAATGGCCGGCCGTATTTAGCCTTCGATTTGTACGCAGAAGGTCCCAGGTGCAGCGGATACAGTAGGCGCCAGGTTGAATGGTAATCGACCACGGCTAATTCATACGGATCGTAACGTGTCGAGTTTACGGTTCGTACCTGCTACCCGGCGAGTTTCAATCGGCATCGGGAGAACCTGGCTCTCACGTTTGCTCCCGGTTAGACGCATTGTACCGTAATAACGCGAAGGAGAAGACATTGTTCTTTGTCGTTTCGCTCGGTAAAGGGGCGCGCACGAGTGCTCTCCTTGTCGAGAGAAAGTCTCCCAGGTATATACCAGCCTCTGTGGGTGTACCAACGCGTGTACATGTCATCCGACAGCGTGGCGTGCCACGCCGCAGACTAAAATCGAACGCGTACTCCTACGGAGTTTCGTTACTTATCATCGATAAAACTCAGATCCGATGCATTCGTAGAACGAGAAAAGACGGTAGGTCGAACCGGCCGGTCCTAATGGATCGGCATTCTTCTTGCGCAACGAGACACAAAGACCTTTAACACGGAACCTACGGTCGAGCCTTGACACCTGCGACACCGATCGGAAAATCAAGCAGAAGCAATAAGACGAAGTTTCAGTCGTCGCGATTTCGAGGGAGAGTCGGATCCTTGAAAGGGAAGGTGGGAAAACCTGATTGCTGGGAGGAAGACGCGTCTAGCTGTGTCCGTGACGATGTTCGCTCGCTATATGATTCACGCGATCCGTGAAAGCGGTCGCGTTCCGCGAAAACGAATCCTCTCTGGAACACAAAGCCGAGAATCTTCGGCGAACGAAATTCGCGATCGAGCAACTATATCGAAATAAAACTATACTACGGTCTATTGTCAAAACATCCATGTGTCCTAAGTTGTAGCATTGTTAGTAAAGAACGAGCTAATGGAATGCAACGAGGGATACGAGTTAACTAGGTGAACCGGCAGGATCGGTCTGGGGGATTCGTCGAGTCTGGAGAATACGAATACGCGTATATCTCGTGTCCAGTTTTGATGGGCTGGTGGGGTGTGCTCCAGGTGGCCGTGGTGGGTGGCGTATAAGTAGAGGCCTGCGTTCACCGCCGTTCTCATACCCTCACCACGTCCTTCGACTACCTCCAACTTTTACTCCGTCCACTTTTTCATGTTCGCCGTCGTGTCGATTTCGTAGTTCGAAGAGAGAGAGAGAGGGACCACGACGACGAGAGAAATTGAAAGAAACGCGCGTGAAAATCGGTGTTACCCGGCCTGTGGACGGACGAGTGTGTCGTCTCGAAGATGATCGCGAGTGTCCGGTGACGACGTGTACCCCGTTCGCCAGTACCTGCGGACTCAGGCTAACTTTGCCACCCGTGTAACGAATTCGTTCGAGCGTTTCCCGCGTCTACGGACCGTTCTACCCTAGCCAGCTGCTCGCATCTTCGACGAGGGATCGACATAGGAATCGCCGACATGTGGTTGAGACTCGCCGTTCTGTAAGTACCACCCCGTTCCATAACGCGATAATCCTAGAGATCGTTTCGCAACCCGTTTCGCTCGGTTAATGGACCGAACCAGCGTTATCGCTCGTTTTCGGCAAGTTTACGCCGCTAACGACGTCCCACGGGAATGCTAATTAACTTGAAATGAGTCTGAGCTCTCGGTTACGCGTACGCGTGTTTGCCTCGAGTTTTGCTCCTCCGTTTTTCTCTCGCGAACCTATCCGAAGAAAATTAGATAGGAGACCGGCCAGTTTCAAAGGTATCGAGTGAACGAGGGGTCAACGATCGATCTTTAATTATAACGCAACTCTCTCTCTCTCTCTCTCTCTGTCTCTCTACTGTGACGGGGAAAAAATCGGAGATGCTTGCGCTCGCGTGTTTCGTTTTCGTTCTACGCGATCCTTCGTCCCCGTATCTCCCGTATCTTGTCACTCACGCAATCCTTTGCGCAACGGCGTAAAACGAGTTAAATAGAAAGTTATCTTATTCCATCCCGTGGACATTTACAAAAGTAGTTATCGCGCGATTGTAAAATTACGTTGGTCGAGACAAAAAAATTATTTGCAATAGGCTTTCACGGTAACGTTGCGCGAGTTACGTAACGACGGTGTCTCGTGCCACCGGAGATACCCACGTACCTACGAATATATACTTATACGAGTATGCTTACGTAGTAAGGTTGAGACAGCTTTCTCCATATGGAATCGCGATAAATTCCGTCCACGCCAGGTCGATCTATCGTCCGAGCCACGTTTCCACCTCGAATCGTTCAATTATGAATGAACCGACGTCGTTCGACGAGATCTAACCGTCTATTTCTCATAAGCCGTAATTCTATGCAGACTCGAAAATTCGTAGAAACGATTGGACCTGAGTTTCGTGCGACGGGGAGCAATTTGCTGGGTGCGAACGACAGGACGCGAGAAATCGTTGTCGCGCCGACGAAACAGGATATATCGTTCCTTTCAATCGGTTCGCAAATGTCGCGGTGGAAGAACTCTATGAAGCCATCGACTTTCTATTCCATCGGATAGAAACACGTTGAAGCGCGCGCGAGATCTCGCGGTCGGCCGACCTTTTACGAAATCATTAGACGCCGTTACTCGTTCTCGACCCGTGATATTAATTTTAAAACAAGCTGCTCTCCTTCGGGAGGTAATCGATCGTAACCGATCGACCTTGTGGCCGACTCGTTTCCTTATAGCCTCTCCACCTCTGTGCTCGCGAGAAAATTTTCCTGGAACGTGAAAGGTCGCGCGCAACGATACCGAAGATCGTTTTGAAAGATCGCGTATGCACCGAGTGCGCGAGACAAGAGAGGAACGTGACGGGCGTCGATCCCCGAAAATTTTCTGGCCGAGCAACCTTGAGGCAAAGGAGGACGAGGTCGCTCTCATATACTAGACGGCCTTCACTTTTTCTTTCGATTCGATTGTTCCACGAAAATCGGTCTTTCCTCCGAGCGAAATCGAATACCGGTGAGAACGCTTTTAACGTATACCGTTTTCTGCTAAAAGCGAGCCAGGGAATCGAATTTATCTGGAATAAGTATCGCGACGTTCTCGGTTGAACTTTAACGCGAGGGCTTATCGAGAGCGTTAAAGATCGAATGCCTCGAAAGAGAACACGAAGCGGTCGCAGCTTCCACCTCACCCGACCAGACGCGAACTTTCACCGTGCAGTAGAACGTCTACACAAGCGTAATAATACGTTCGATTTCACTGCGATTTTAATTTCACGCCCGTCCACCTTGCTCTCCAAGTAGATCAGCAGAAAACGTCCAACGACCATTAGAACTTTTATCTGGCGAATCGATAAAAGCATCTCAAACACCATTTACCGTTTCTGTCGAAAATCCCGGATAATTCGTGATTCGTTAAAACGCGATAGCGATCTCTGACGAACACGAAATTCATTTCCAGAGTATCCTGCATCGTCGCGACGACTCTGGCGGACGATCAGCCTCGAAAAGCGGTGACCATCGAAGGTAACCCAGCGAAATTCCTACCGAACGAGCATGTATCATCGGCCTTTGTATTCGCAGAGTTCGTAACGTCGCACAAAGTGCCGGAAAGCGTCGCGCGGCCGTCGGACGACGACGACGACGACGTTGTCGAGGGTATAAAGGATGGGAAGCACCCTAAGAAGGTCGCGGCGAACTTTGAAACTTTCGATAAGAAGTCGGCCAATCTCGACCCGGTGAGACGGTTCGATTTCGTCGACGATGACAAATCGGCCGGCACCGAGAAGCGGCAAGTTCGCGTAGAGCTGGAAAACTTTGCCGACACCGGGATCCTGCAGGAGGATGGAATTCGACGGACCGACGCGCTCAGGTCGCGAACAGACGTTCCGAGGGATTCGCTGATTCCCGGAGTGCGCGTCAGGTAAAGATACGCGCTTCTAATTTATCCGAAATTTTTACAATATACGTTCTATCGGTACAATTGTATTGCGACATGCGGTGTGAGAACTACGGTAAATAGTTATTGTGCATGATTTCAAAATGTGACGGAGATCATCAAATGTCGTTGTGAAAGATAATTATGTCGTTCTCAGTGAAGAGTATCCTACAACGATGATACCGGTTCTAACTACACCGCGTGAAGCGCGAGGCTTCGACTTCGTTCCCGTGAACATCATTCGCAACGACGGCAAGGAGACATCGTTCCGCGATCGCAATTTCGGTGATTTCAGCGACGTGAGTTTAGTTCCCGCAGGCACGAGCTCGCGAATTCAGGTAAAATCCCGATTTCAATCTCGTACAAGGAGAAATCGTATAATGGAGCTGAACTGCATTATCGTACGCGTCACGCTGTGTACAATAGGTGAAGAAGGGACCGAATGGTAAAGACTACGAGTACGAGTACGTGTACTATTACTACGACGAGGAGGACGAGAACAAGGCAGGCTCGGCAGACTCGGCCGTGACCAATGCCTACGACGTCCCTTCTAGAAGCACGACCGCGCCTAGACGTGGTAGCTCTTCTACGAACCGGAATAAATACGCCAGTGTCGAGAGATCGAGCACCGTCGAACCCGTCAGCAACGAGGTGATCCCCAACAGAAATGGAAATACCAGAGGTCGGCAGCTGATCGAAGAAGACGTCTCCGAGGAAAGGCTACCGACCAACACCAGATTTCCACCTAGGTGAGCATCACTCCGTGTTCTAAAAGTCCTGAGTAAATTTAATTTTTTTCATTTGACACGACTCCTATCTGGCACAAAAATCGCGTATTATAAACGGTATACGATCCATTTGAAAGTAGATCGAGATCGAATCACAACACGGGGACCACGGAACCGACGCGTACTCGCGGGAACCGCCCGAGACCCAGCCTGGACTTGGTCGACTCGAGCAGCTTCCGCACTCATCAGGAAGGACCAGAGTTCCCTCAGGCTCTGCCGAAGGGACCGGTAAGATTCCTCGGAGTGACGCCGAACGAGGACAGCGCGGAAGAGAAAGCGGCGAGCAGAGTTCGGGCGAGACCGCAGAAGGTGCAGGAACCCGCCCCTGTAGAAGAGATCGTCGAAGACGTGCCCGCTCCCACGACCAGAAGACGTCCGATTCAAGTGATTCATCGTTTCCCCTTTCTCTCGCGTAACGATTAGTACAACGACAGAACTAGATCGCTAGAGGTGATCTCCTTACCGTTTCAGGAAGCTGAACCGACCAGAGGTCAATCGAGAAACAGCGAGGAAGAAGACGAGAAGGAGGAAACGACTTCGTCCAACGAGAAAATTAAGGACAGAATAAGTTCCGCGGAGAGTAGGCAAGATTACGAGGAACCGAACTCGTCTTCGACGAGCACCGAGACTCCGACGACCGAGTATCCGTCGTCGATGGACAAGGTCGCCCTAGATCTGTACGCGTTCGTCCAACAAGGTAGAAGCAACTTGGTAGACGCGTCCGAAGCCGCAGATTCGTCGGCCGACGGAACTACGATCTCCGACGAGGCTACCACCGATCCGGCAGCTACCACAGAATTGTCCGCGACTACCCTCGAACCGGCGACGACCACGACGGAGCCAACGACTACTACGGCCGCTCCGACGACTACCAGTACTACTACGACCACGACTACCACTACGGAGCCACCAACGACCACGACTCAGGCACCTGGAAGAGGAAAATTCCGAAGACCAGGTATCGGTGGCTCGGTACCCGGTTCCCGAAATCGATTCGGAAACAAATCTAACGGGGCTAGCAGCACGACGACCGAGGCGCCGACGGAAACCAGCCAACGGACGCGAGGTCGTTTCGGAGGGAACGGTTCAAATGGTAATGGTTACAAAAGAGCTCGACCTGGGCAGAAGCCCGCAGTCGAGGAGGACACGATACAGAAAGAGAGCTCGAGTTCCGTCCAAGCGGAACGACCGACTTCCGGAACGAGAAATCGATTCCGTGGCCCGGGAGGTACGAGATCGGCCTCCACAACGACTTCTGCACCAACGAATACCGGATCGACCTCGTCTTCGAACGGGCCGTCTGGAATATCGAGACCGTCTTTTAACAAACTGAACATCAACCGACGACGAGGAGGAGGAAGGCCTTCCACCGCGTCGCCAGGTGGTAGCGAGGAGAGTCAGGAATCCACCAAGGAGGCAGCCAAAGAAACCGAATCTACCGCGGCACCGAAAACGACTGCACGCTCGAGGCTACCCACGACCGGCGGCGTGAGGCCTCTGATCAAACCCGGAACTCGACCAAATCTTAGACCGAAACCGGGTCAAGCGACTACAACCACTTCTACGACACCGCTCCCGGCTGACAATTCCGAGGAATCCTCTATCGATGAGCCAGCCGGAGAAGGCACCGAGGAGGAAACTCACGAGGTAAGATAACGTTCGACCGAATCAGATATTAGTTTATGTACAAAATAAAACGGATTCGACGCGTTTATAATAAAATCGATTGTATTTAAATGCAGGCACCCGCAGAGACTACGCCTCCAGCGAAATCCACAACCGTGAATCCTCTGAACAAGCTAAGAAATCGAAATAGGTTGCAAGTGCATCCGAAAACGACGACCAGAGCACCTGCTACTCCTGCATCGTCGCGAAGATCGCCTCTGCTACCGCGACGCAAAGTGACCGAGGCACCCGTGGCTCAAACCAGTCAGGAAGAACCATCGGAAGAGCCAGAGAAAGCAGAGAGCAGCGAGACAGAACCGACCGAGGCTGTTTCCGCGGAGACTAGCACGGCCGCGAGCACGAAACACGAGGAAACGCGAGGTCTCGGGGGACTCCTGGCACCTAGACGTAGGATAGTACCTCGCCGACCTGGCCAGATAGTCCCACGGGAATAAACTAGACTCAAGAGAGTCTGGAGAACGAAAGGAGCCCTGCGTATCTGTCGAATTTCGCGATTACGAATGCGAACGATCATTGCCGTTTCGAAAGGAGGCACGGAGAACGATTTCGGTTAACGCTTAAATATCCGTCATAACGATTATGTTTCATCGCATACTTGCAAAACAAATAGCCGGGCGTTTAAGCGGTAACGAGGGCCGTAGAGTTTTCGCATCTTATACGACTAAAAGGTAGATGTATTGTACATAATGAAAGCTGTACGCATCTCTACAACGGATATGTATTATCTAATCGCGATGCCATAGTCGAGATCGCGTTAGCCCGTAACGGTGCGATTGAATTGGAACGACACGATACTCGTTGAACGATGGACGATGTGATTTTAGAACGCGTGGCGCGTTACAAAACAATATTTTTGTAATTACTATGTTCCACGATATGCTGTAAATATTCCATTGCAATTAAAGATACGTAAACATGATTGACCGTTTTGTTACTTATTTGTTTTACCCTCCCGTTTAATCCAATTATCAGAGTAACCTATAGCCAGGAGTTTTCTAGCCATAACAATCACGTCATGGCATAAAAATTATCTATTTCCTAAGCTACACTATCGCACAGTGTAGCTACAACGATTATCGCGAATACGTATAAATAGATGACGCGATGATAGAGATGTAAAAGTGTACAAGTTAAATAAAAAGCGACGTCATTAGAATTGTCTCTGCGACGTGCATCGCAATATGTACAATGTCTAATCGACGTCAAACAATTACAATTCCCGTGTATTCATAAAGGTCTTTTAAACGAAGCAAGGCATAACACAAGTACATGTACACAAATAAACAGGCGAGAAAATGATATCGTTTAGTAGCACTCACCGAAATCGGTAGAACTCGCCATCGGATGAGCCGTCGGCAGAAACGATCAAGTCCAATCTGCGTTGCAATCGTAGCACCAACGAGATGACCAAGGAGAAGTTCGTCTACGACATCAGTCCACTGCTTCAGGAATCCAGGAAGGTACGTCCTGCTCCCATCGGTTCCCTCGTCGACGCAGCATCATCGTCCATGTCCATTGTTTCAAACCTGCACGTATGTACTCACGATTAAACATCGTTCACTGCCGAAATTCAATTTCCGTTGATACGTGCACTGTTCGAACGCGATACGAGAACTTCGAAACGAAGGTGACGCTACCGACACGATGTTACTTTAGAACGCGGGAAAATGGCTCAAAAGACGAATCGCTCGTCACGAAATTATAGCGAACATCGTTAGGCTAAATAGTCGCAAAAGGACTGGCCTTGAACGATTCCTACAATAGTCTTATCCTTTGCTCGATATCGAGGTGAACTAGCACCGAAAATCATTTCGTCCAAGACGAAATTTGGCTAGGCCACGGTCAGACCTGTTGCCCTTCGATACGAAATTATTCTGCGATTTCGATATGAATTTACTCCCCCATAACCGAACATCGTTCCCCAAGGTGCAAATAAACGAATACGTATTTACCTTAGCATGATGCGTACACTGTGCGAACGTAAAACTGGAAAATTCACGGACTAATTCAAAGGCAACGACGCAGTACGGCAGCCATCTTGGCACTACACCGGTGCTGCGCGCGCAACGGAGTCACATGACTGCATGCCTCTAGCGTGCCAAATTGAATACGGAATTATTCATAATTCTAAATTATTTTATAGTATATGAATATTGTCTCCGATTTTCAGTAAGAACAGGAAAAATATGTATCTCGAACACGAAAATTAACGAAAACTATATATGTACAGTAAATAAACTTAATTGTTGACGCACGATCGATCTTTCTACTCATCTACGTATAAAGATAAAACGATAAGCCTATTCGACTTTGATATTGATTGCATTGTTTATTCTGTATCCATGTTACACTGATAAGCATGCAATCGTGAAAACAGTCAATAGTTAATCGAGAGAACGTTTTTATCAACTGAGAGAGGAAAGGTGAATAACGTGATTCGTAGAACCAGCGTGTGGTTCGCAACGAGCAGATCGAGGTGGACTACAAATAGAACCTAAACTGTAGTAAAGATGGTGAAACACGGAGGATTGGTCGGGTGGTTTTAACGACTCGATGTCTAAATTTTAGTCAAATACTCGTTGGCGTTGAGCTCAACATGTGAATAAGGTATTGACGAGTTCGCGGCCGAGAGGAACAAGCACGTGTCGACTTGGAAAGTGGGACGAAAGTCGCCTTGAAACGAAGGTACGGCCACAGGGGATATTCTTTGTTTATGGAGATCAGCTGTGTTACCAAACATTCCTATCGCTTTCGCTGATGCGACCACGACGCTTCTATTTTTGTCGAATAAAGGTCAGCTCGAAATCGCGAGGAAAATCGACGATGCGAATCGTTCCTATCTATGCAAATCGTCTATGAATCCGGTTCTAAAATGCACACGTAATACTCGCGTAAAAAGACTTGCACCGTTGGGGAGAGATGTAAATTTTCTGTAGTTGAATTTCCGTTCGTTGCACACACGAACTCGTCGTTGTGACAGACGACATCTTCGTTTTTCAACGTTTTAATGAACTTTGCACGATATTAATTCATTTCCGACCGATACAAAGAGCGCATACACAGATGATTCATTCGCGAGGACAGTGAAATACCTGAGAAACGCGATGCAATCTTTAGATAAGACAAGGTCGGTAGACAAAGAGTCGCGGGGAAAATCGAACACGTGGTCAAAGAATTAGGAAACATAGTTGTTGAATGTACGATAATATGTAACGGATAGATTACTGACATAGGTAGATGCAAGTCAGCGTCCAATACAGTTAACAAGTACATTTGGTGGGTGGCTTACATTTTAGATGCTTGCGGAGCAACCATCGACCGGTAGTTAATTATACTTAATGACATGTGAGAATGAAACGAGAAACTGTCATTACCTGTGTAGAGCCAAACCGACGAGCGAAAACGGTAAGGCTCCGTTCTTTGGGATTCTCTAGTCGAAACCCGAGTGCATGTCGTTTTTATCATTTTTCACCGATCACGTTTTCACGTTTTTTCCCCTTGTTTTTTTGTCAACCGATCGGGAAACATTATTTTCTGCGGATCTCTTCCTATCGATTATTTCTATTTATTTAATGTAGCAAGCACATAAGCAGAGCGTGTTTCTAGATGACAACGGTATTGGACGGCAGCTACCAACGAATGGAACCATACGAAGGCGAGGAAGAAGACGGGGAGGATGACGACGAACACGAAGAAACACCGCAGGAAAGCGGAGTTATGATTCACGTGGTACCCGAGGGGAACAAGGCTCGATGGAACCACGTGGAGGATCTAGATTCGTTTTTTACAAGAATGTATCATTATCATCAAAAACACGGTTTCGCTTGTATGATACTGCAGGAAGCGTTCGAACTAGGACAATTCATTTTCGTAGTCACCTTCTCGACTTTCCTTTTCCACTGCGTCGATTACTCCGTGTTGTTCAAGTAAGCTTCGACTTTCGACGAGAAAACTTTTTGCTAAGCACGTGCGGATAATTAAGAATTTCAATTGTTAATTTCAGGAACAACACGACGAACAATAGCCCCTCGCACAAAACGTCGATAAGCGACGTGATTTTATCAACGAGCGAATGCTTAGCGTCCATGGGTCTGATCACTTGGATCTGTATTTTAGTAGCGGCGATCTTTTGGATTTTACGATTGGTAAAAGTTTTGTATCACTGCACGCAGTTCTGGGACATAAAATTGTTCTTCAACACGGCGTTGAAGATCGAGGACTGCGATCTGGACAATCTGACATGGCACGAGGTGCAGAAGCGGGTCAGGGAAGTGCAGAAGGAGCAAGAAATGTGTATACACAAAAGAGAGCTTACGGAGTTAGACATATACCATAGGATATTAAGGTTTAAGAATTACATGGTGGCTATGATAAACAAATCTCTGTTGCCCGTTCGACTCAAAATTCCTATCGTAGGAGAAATCATATTCATGACCAGGGGACTGAAATACAACATGGAACTGCTTCTATTTTGTAAGTTATCGAATCGATGTCGTACAACTGCATCTATTCTAAATTGTTATCACGCGCAGGGGGTCCATGGTCTCCGTTCGAAAACAATTGGCACCTGAAGGAAGATTATAAGAAGCTGAACAAAAGACAGGAGCTGGCTAGGGCGCTGTCCAAGCACATATTATGGGTTGGAATAGCGAACTTTCTCCTCTGTCCACTGATCCTACTATGGCAAATACTTTACTCGTTCTTCAACTACGGCGAAGTGAGTATTCGAATTTTTTGGTAACGGTAGTACGTATACGACTATCTATTTTCTCGTTCTCGAATAGATCATCAAACGAGAGCCGGGATCTCTGGGTACGAGAATGTGGTCTCTGTACGGCCGACTGTACCTCCGCCACTTCAACGAGCTTGACCACGAGTTGAACGCACGTCTAAATCGCGCCTACCATCCGGCCTCCAAGTACATGAACATATTCACGTCCCCGATTATGGCCGTGATCGCGAAGAACGTAGCTTTCGTCGCCGGAAGTATACTAGTAGTTTTATTGATACTGACCGTGTACGACGAGGACGTGATAACGGTGGAACACGTGTTAACGACCATAACGATATTAGGTGCGATGGTGGCGGGCGCGAGGGCATTCATACCGGACGAAAATTTAGTCTGGTGCCCGGAGACTCTGTTGACCGCTGTTCTGGCTCACACGCACTACAGACCGGATAGCTGGCGATGCCACGCTCACACCCAAACCACCAGATCGGAGGTGGCACAACTATTTCAATATCGCGCCGTGCACCTTTTCGAAGACTTAATTTCCCCCCTGCTCACGCCGTACATTCTCTGCTTCCGCATGAGACAGCGAGCCCTCGACATCGTCGACTTCTATCGGAACTTTACGATCGAGGTGACGGGTGTCGGAGACGTTTGCAGTTTCGCGCAAATGGACGTACGGAAGCACGGAAACCCGATGTGGCAAACGATAGATCCGAGCGTCCAAGATCGAACCACGGGATACGACAATCGATACGCGACCGGAGAGCCGGACAAGCTTCAGATACCTGTGTCGGATCAGTACACGCAAGCGGAGGACGGCAAGACCGAGTTGTCACTTGTACATTTTACCCTGACGAATCCCGAATGGAAACCGCCGAGCCACGCAGAGAACTTCGTCACCGCGTTGAGAGAAAGGGTTAAAAAGAACATGCACGAGGGTATGCACGGAGATGCCAACCCCTTTTTAGCGAGCTTGAACAGTCTGTCCAGTTTGGGACCGGGTGTAAGTATTGGAATAATTCGACACTCGCATCGTACAACGATCGGGTATGACATTGGAAGAGATAACTGTGAAGATGTGTTAAACTAGTTTGCTCGTTACAGTACAACGACATAGTGTCGAATATAATTAGAAGCACGATGATGAACCGTTCGACGGGCGCACCGTTCGCGAACCAGCCGGGTACCTCGATGTCAAACCTCGAAGATGAGTTTAACACGAGGTCGGACACCATGCCGGTTCAACGCGGTCTGAGGAGGGCCGAGGGACAAGTGTACAATAAAAAAGGATTGCTGCACGGATTGCAGCAAGATATGTTGAGTCCATCTCTAGGTGCTTCTGCTTTCGTATCGAACCACGAGTTGTCTACCGACCTGTGCGTACCGTTAGAGCTAATTGCTGCCGATATGTCTCTGTCTACATTGTACCTGCACGAACTTCATCACAGACAAGTACGTCATTATTATGGATTTTGCGTAAGAGAAAGAGAAAGACGATAATCAGATATTTTTTTATGATCGTACAGGTTCAGAGAAGGGGCTACCAAGAAATGGTTAGGAGCATTTGGCAACGCAATCCTCCCGTACAAGAGCTCGCGTTGCTACCCGAGGTCAGGCAGGAGAGAGCCCCCCTGCTCTTGCACCAAGATTCCTCTAGAAGGAACAGAGACTCGAAATATGACTTGAACAGTCATTTAAATAGCATCTAAGAATCATTCGTGAAATGACAAAACGTCATTCTTTTTAACAAAATAAAACTATTTTCATTCGCTTTACGATGCGACGTGGTTTACTTTATAGTCAGCGGAATAAGATAGTTAGAACGATTAAGAATCTGTGTTATCAATGTAAATACAGTAACGAAATATTCCTCGATTAGATTCGTTTAGAAGCGAAACGATCTCGAATGCCTACTTCATCCCTCGAGGCCTACGCATCCATCGCTTACGTCTTGTACATAGAACCAACCATCGAAATTTATAAAAGGACTTTCCGCGACTTCCCTACCCCCTTCTTTTAAGTAACTTTTGTTTTAGCTAACTTTTATTATACGCGAAGCTTTGCGTGTACAAATGCGTATGTGTGTGCGTGAGTAAGAACCAGCTCTAGTTTTCAACGCCACAATTTTCTAGTCATGACGATCACACGCCATAGCATAAAAACTTATTTATTTCCTAAGCTAGACTGTCGCACAGTGCAGCTACAACGATTATCGCGCAGGTATAAATACGTTTCGTACGCTGCAGATTATCACGAAATGTCAGAGTGTATAAGTTAAATGAAAAACGACTTGACTCGAGTTGACTCTTTGCGACGCGCATTATACGCAGATTCTCATCGACGTCAAACAGTTACAGTTCCCGTGTAATTTGTAAAGGTCTTTTAAACGAAGCAACGCGTAACAAAAGCAAATAGGAATTACGAAGGAAACTAACGATGATGTTAATTTAAGGGATATTATTTGTAATTTATCACTATGGAGAATAAAGAATTTGCGTAATAAATCATTTTTCGTAAAAATCTACGAGTCTATTTCTAATCCTATCTTGTGTATTAGAAGCAAGCTTGTACGCGAACAAATGAGCTTCGAAATATATGACTAGCGAGAAAATGGTATCGTTTAGAAAGAATGAATGCTCACCGAAATCGTAAAAATTCGCCGTCGGATGCGACGTCCGGAGAGGCGATGAAGTACAATCTGCGATGCAACCGTAACATCAGCGAGAAGATGACTAAGAAGGACTTCGTCTACGACATCCGTCCACCGCTTCAGAGCTCCAGGAAGGTACGTCCTGCTTCCAGCGTTCCCCTCGTCGACACAGCATCATCGTCCGCGTCTACTGTGTTAATGTCAAATTATGTACATGTATTCAATTCATTCAAATGTGTACATGTACACTTTACTTCTACTTTTTATGTATTATACTTACATCGTTCGCTATCGAAATTTTATTTCAATTAACACGGGCACTGTACGAACGTGATCCGAGAACTTCAAAACGAAGGTGACGCTACCGCAGCGACATGGCGTTATATTAAAACGCGGGAAAACGGCTCAAAAAACGAACCGTTCACCCCGAAATTATAACGCACGTCGTTTGGTTAAATACTCAAAAAAGGACTGGATTCTTACAATAGTTTTACCCTTTGCTCGATGTTGGGGTGAACTAGCACCGAAACCGTTCCATTCGAGACGAAGTTTGGCGACGTCACGACTAGAGCCATTGGCTTCCGAAACGAGATTATTCTGCTATTTCGACATGAATTTACCCCCCACAACCGAAAATCGTTCCCAGAGATGCAAATAAACGAATATATACTCATCTTAGCGTGATACTTACACTGTGCGAACGTAAAACTGGAAAATTCACGGACGAATTCAAAGGGATGCACACAGCACGGCAGCCATCTTGTCACTACGCCGGTGACGCGCGCGTACGCGGTCAGGTGACCGCCTGCGTCGTGCACACCGAATTCAAAGCGGAATTATTCGTAATTCTAAATTGTTTTATAGCATATGAGTATTGCTCGTTCGATTTTCAGTTAGAAGAAGGAAAATACCCGATCGTATTGCCGTTGCAGCTTCGAAGGAAGCAGGGCGACTCGAAAATGCCGCAGTATACGGTGATTTCGGAAAAAAGCAGTGGCAACGAAAATAGCGAAGCGACGAATGTAAGTAATCAGAGTCGTTAAATTGGAGAAGAGGAAGTTAACACGAACCGTAGGTTTCACAGCGACCACTTCTGCGGTTCGAGTGTAATTTTTGTCACGAGCAAATCGCCACGCTTTTATCGCTTTCCACGCACATTAAATTTCATCGCCGGAAATACTGCAAGTATTGTTATTGGATATTGCTGGAAAACGAAACGATGGAAGAGCATGTTAAAAACGTTCATAGGACCGATCTAAAAATCGCCGCTTAGCGTCGAACTTTATTATTTAATCGTCGAAATTCACAATGTTCTGTATGTTGCGAACGCGATTGATTAAACGCTATGTGCGGATGTCCGATAAATCGGGTGTATCGTTTATTCCTGCGACGGGGCAAAGTCCTGGTGCCATCGTCTTTAGCACAGTCTCGACGTTGCTCTGACAATTTATACAGATAACGCTTTGTCCGCGAAGTTCCAAATCATTGGACAACAGCTTAAGATTCTGCGAAACGACACAGATGATTCGATTAGATTGCAAAGACTCGTACGATGCGAGTAATCACCTTCGCGACTGTGACGTCGATTCTCTTTAAATTCGCACAGTCGAGTACGACGTCGCGCGAATTCTCTTCCACGAGCTGCATTATCTTTGCTCGAAAATGTTCTGCCGCTGGGAACGCGACAGTTTCCTCGGGTGTAACGCGAATCACGTTTCTATCCTGTATCTGTGTAGCAAATAAAATTAACCGTCGCCGCACGATCGATTTTTCCATCGTCATCTACCTGTTCCATCTCGGTCTTCACGGCCGGCCTTGCCGAGAAATACAGCAGTACCAGCAGATTCAACGCTACTCCGATCACGATTCCATATTCCAATTTGTAAAACACGCAGAACAAGAAGGTGATCGACATCAGGAAGAAGTCGATTTCTAAAAAAAAAAAGGAGGATAGGGAGTCGGTGATCGTGAACGAGACGCGATTTACTTACTCCTCGCACGCCACAGTGTAGCGTATGTCTTAAAATCGAGCATGTAATACATGGCGCATATGATGAGGCCAGCCAGAGTGGCTTTAGGGATAAAACGAAACGTGGAAGTCAGCAAGCTAGCCGCGAGTAATACGATACAACCTGAAAGAAAAAAGATTCGCGATATAGCTTCTCGCTCCTATCTTTGATAAGCGTTTCGCAACGGTTTCTCGTTCTTAATTCACAAGCCTTCCGATCTATTCACCAGTGAACAAGCCTCCGAACGTAGTTTTCACTCCGGACGAGTTATTGACAGCCGTTCGAGTGAAAGAACCAGTGACTGGCATCGACCTAACGAACGAGCCTAACATGTTGCACACACCCAGTGCAAACATTTCCTGCGTGGTGTCCAATGATTTTCCCATTGCTAAAGACATGTGTTCCCGTTAATTTCGAATATTTGTCAGATCTCTCAGCATCGAGCATACCAAACGCTTTGGCAATCGCCATGTGCTCTATCGTGGATATAGCCGGGACGGAGAAGAGCGTAGTTCCCATCGCGTTAGCCGTCTCCAGAAAATCGTAAGTACGATTACCGGCGGTAATCGAGAAGGCTGGTGGTCCAAAGGGTGGCAACCCGCTGCCGATCGTTCCTACAAATCAGTTGTTCCATACATTCGATTCCTCCTACGGATCTCCAGGAGTCTCCTACCGGTTAACTTGAAGGGTTCCTGGTTGTTCACGTAAAATATGTACGCCACGATTATCCCTATGACTACTACCAACGCGTTACGCGCCAGAGTGACGAACCAAAGGACCTGTTGCAACCGCGAGCCGGTTCTACGCCCAGGCAAATTCTTGAGCAACACCAGAACAATTATTGTGACGAGACCCAATACTGTGTCTTGATATCGGACTTGATCGAGATGCGAGAACACGGTGATCAACGCATCCAACAGATCTTCGCTCCTACCGGGGATACCTAGTAGCGACTTGAACTGCGAGGCGGCTATATTGATAGCCGCGGCCGCGGTAAACCCCGTGATCACGGGTAACGAGATGAAATCCAATAGAAATCCTGAAAGGAATCAGAGCGTTCGTCCAATTCTCCTTCCTCTCTCATCTGCACTCACCTAATTGAAGGATCCCGAGAATCGCGATCATGCAGCCCTTGAGGAACGTGAGTAGTATAACGATATCGGCACCGTATTCGAGTACCAACGGTCGAACCATGGTTGCCATGATAGCCGTGGGTCCGATGGTGATGCTCTTGCAAGACCCGAAGATGATGTACACGAACGACGCCATGAAAGCCGCGTACAATCCATACTCGGGACCTAGTTCGGCAACGACACCGTAAGCGATTCCTTGAGGAATTGCCGTGAAGCCAACCGTGAAACCGGCGATCGTGTCTCTAGCTAGCCACGCGAGCTTGTAATCTCGCACCCACGATAAAATAGGCAGCCTCCGTTTTGTGTACGAGTAGCAACAGTCTTTGTCGCATCGAGACACTTAAAAAATATAGATAAATAAAATCTGTTGAGTCTCCCACCAGTCATGCCGCGGCGTCGTTTCGTAAACTCACTTGTCCCATGAAACGAGCTTCTCACTTTATCTAACATACTATCAATCGTTACGGTACAAAACACCAACTCGATTTCCTAATACGTTCAATCTTTACATAAGGCTCTGATACAGTCCATCGGCTTGGCGGACTCTGAACGTTTTTAAATTACAGGGAAAGAAAGGAGAGCCGCGAAACACTGAGCAGTGCTGATACAACAAATCATCGCTGAACCTTCAACGACATTTATCGGAAATTTGATCCCCACTCGTTCGTACGTGCCGATTAATAAGCTCACAAGCTGTTCTAACTAGCATCATGTCCAGCAATTAATTGTACAAGTTAATCTCGTGATACATGATCCGATATCGAGATAAGCGAGAGAAATAAATCCAATAATAAGGTCAACAGCTCAATTTTGGTATTTCCACGGTGTTGGTCATTTACTTTTGGTGAGATAAGTTAAAAACAGATTATGGATCACGTAAAGATCGTCGATCGGTTCGAATCGGCTTAAACAGGCTTTACGCACGTACACAATAATGATTCCAGCATCGACTGTCATTGTCTGCAGATAAGTTAAACACGGTAAGCTCGATACGATCTTTCGTGTGAAAATATGAAAATCTGCTTACCAACACGCATTTTCCTCATTCCGGGAACACGGAGGAAATAAATTCATCGTCGAACCATCCTCAGATAAGCACAGAAGCGTTCGGCGTTTGTTTCATCTGCCACTGTACTCGTTGGCAACCAATCTTTATTTTGCTTCCGCTCTTTCCTTTTCTCCGTTCTATCATGTGAGCATTATCTAAATTTTTTTGTATTCTCGATATCGGAAAGAGGTCCCGAGTTCACAGCCGGGTAACCGGTTAACTCCGGACGATCGACTTCCCTCCGGCAGCTGCACGAGCTTTATCGAACGGCCAATGATCTTTTTTCAAATGCATTAAAAAGTAACAACAAATTAAGCTTCTAGATAAAAACGATTTAGACGCGCGAGTGTTCGAAATGCAGATGTTATCTAACGAATGTTATTGCATGGAAACGTTATTTTCCATGTAGATAAGATACCAGCCTCGCTGGGGGTATAAATTGTACAAATACGATGCATATTGCAATTGTAGGACGAATAGAAAGGAAGTGGAAACTCAACGGGGCGCGAGCAAACAATTGCGTGCGCTTGGTTTATCTGTCGAGTGTAGAAACAAGAGTAAAAATAAACGAGAGTCGGACGACTCGTGATAACGACGTAACAATTATTGTTATTGCTAAATCGGACCCCCAGCAGAAGTTGCATCACGTAACATTAGATGACCCCGGAATGGAAAATATATTTTGCGGTCTGCAACCGATGCGTATCTCGCGCGTGTACAGTGTTTTCATATTTCACTTCGTTTTTAACATGATCAGCAAATTATTGTTGTTGTTGATGCAACGTAGACGAATCAATCTTAGAAATAATTAATTTACGTGATAAGCTGAACGCGACGGAAGTTTTACACGAATCGCGACGATCTCGCTGCCTTTTGACTAAATTGGAAGAAAAAAAAATCGATAGGCAGATCGTCGTGAATGCGATTCTCAGGATTCAGACACTGTTGTTCCATCCAGAACGACAGGGCAATTCGGTAAATATTAACGAGCGACGCGACACGACGGTAGACGCGGTCGTTTCGTTCGATTCAGTAGCGATCTTCGAGTGGGGACACCGCTATAAGAAGATACATAAATCACCGGCGAGGAAACAGTTTACCAGTTGGAGCAGCCACTACTCAGTTCGCTCGATCCAATAGATTCCGGTACGATCACTTCTCAAGCACATATCGAGGTACGTGTACCCACGTTCCCAAAAATCGACGATAACGAGAAATATTCCACCTTCTTGTAAACTTTCTACTTCCATACTTCCATACTTCCACGCTTATGTAACGAATAATTGTTTACTAGCTCCCAGGCCACCTCTCGCATTTCCCACTTCGTTCTCGATCTCATTTACATTCGATGAGGTAATCTGCATCATCTGTTCAATTTACAATATTCCGACGAAAAGCGAAACGCTCATAGTTATTAGAATTCTGTTTGATGTAAACAGTGAACGGTTTCTGTTCAAGGATATAATGTCTACCAGGCTCGGAAGCGTTTTCATCAGCGATCCCGTGGACGCGTGCTGCGCCGAGCTGCTGACTCGCCACGGCGTTCCCGTGACGACCAAATACAAGTTATCGAAAGAGGAATTGATAAAAGAACTGCAGGTACGCGTAATCCGAGCGACAGCTGTCGTTATCTATTTCAAATATGGGTCACTGGAAGCAAATCGACGCCGATCAGACTGCAACTTTCCCTCTCTCGCGCCTTTGATCTCCCTTAATTATCGGTTGCATTCGAGAACCGGCTCGATCCAGTTCCAGACGAACGCGATTACCGGTTAGTAGTCTCGGGTCGTTGTACTTATCTTATTGTTAGCCGGTTTCTCCCTTCCGCGGTCTGGCCCCACGCGCTGTCCCGTCCCGTGCGAGCCGAGCCGAGCCGAGAACAGCCGTTTCAATTGACGCTTACTTACTTCTAATAGAATCACGATGGATTGATCGTTCGATCGGAGACGAAAGTGACCAGCGATGTGTTCGCCCGTTGCCCGAATCTTCGCGTGGTCGGTCGCGCTGGAACCGGAGTGGATAACATCGACCTCGAGGCTGCCACGAAGAAAGGAGTTATCGTGTTAAAGTGCGTATCGCTACCTCTCGTCCATTGTTCGACCGGGGTTCAATGAAGTGATCGATAATTACACTTATTTCAGTACTCCCGGTGGGAACAGCATCAGCGCTTGCGAGTTAACGTGCGCGTTGATATCTAGCTTGGCACGGAACGTGGCCCAGGCAGCCCAGTCGTTGAAGGAAGGACGATGGGACAGGAAACTGTACTCCGGTTACGAGTTATACGGGAAGACGCTCGCGGTTCTCGGCATGGGACGGATCGGCCGCGAAGTCACGCGCAGGATGCAGTCGTTCGGGATGCTTGTGGTCGGGTTCGATCCTCTGCTCACGCAAGAGGCCGCTAACCAGTTGGGTATCGAGAAGCTCTCGTTGGAAGAGATCTGGCCGCGAGCCGATTACATCACCGTGCACACGCCTCTCATTCGTCAAACAAAAAGTACGTACGATTTACTTTGAGATCACGTTCAAATAACGTTTCATTGATCGCTCGCTCGCAGATCTGATAAACGCGACGACGCTGGCGAAGTGCAAGAAAGGGGTACGCATCGTGAACGTGGCCCGCGGTGGCATAGTTGACGAGGAGGCGCTATTAAACGCGTTGAAGTCCGGCCAATGCGGCGGAGCCGCTTTGGACGTGTTCGTCGAGGAACCACCGAAGAATCCTATTACCCTCGAGTTGATAGCACATCCTAAAGTCGTCGCTACTCCTCATCTGGGTGAGCTGACTGCATTTTCTAAATTGGCATTGCAAATGTTTTATTTCGCATGACTTCGACAGGAGCAAGCACCGAGGAAGCTCAACAACGAGTCGCCGAAGAGATAGCTCAACAGTTCTTAGTACTAGCAGGAAAATCGACGGAATATGCAATCACTGGAATAGTGAACGCTCCGGTGTTGACTGCTGCATTGTCAGACGAGAACGCGCCGTGGATCGAACTTTCGAAAAAGCTGGGCATGCTGGCTGCCCGATTGTTAAAGGGGAAACTGAACGTCGCGGTGCAGAGCCAGACGGTTGGCGATAAAGCAATGAAGGACAGGGAATTCGTTCACACCGCTGTCCTCGTTGGTATTCTGTCGGGGCAAACGAAGAACGGCTTGAATCTAATCAACGCGCCTACTCTCGCCCGAAATAGTGGCATCGACGTAAAGGGAAGCCATCAGGATTCAACCGGTGAACAAACTATCGTTGTTCAAGCAGGAGGACATAAAATCAAAGGTAAATATCAAGAATCAGAATCTGAAATAATAGAGACTTCATCGGACTCATCATTTTAGGAACTGTGCTTAATAATCAGCCACTGCTGCTCTCGATCGACGACGCGGCTTTTACTAATGGGATCGTGTTGGGGAATCATATCTCCTTGTATCGAACGACGAACGCACAGGATTTGGCGCAAATCGTGAACGCTATGAAAGGCGTGAACGTTCGCGATTTGCACGCGAACGCTGGCTGGACGATCGTTCAAACCGATCGGGAAGTCTTAGCGCGCGTCGATGGTATCGAGACGTTCTAAGCTCGATGATGTCCTGCTTGGAAACAAGACTCAGTATTCCACGATTCTTGAGACGAATCTCGATTTTTTATTTATTATTCGAAAAGGAGGTGGGAACTTATGAATCTTTATTAATCTCCTATACGTACACATGTATTCAAAAAATCATTTATACAAAATATATATGTATGTATATGTATAGGTATTTATATTTTTGTATTGTTAGTAGTCATTAATAAAATAGAGAATCACAAAGTCGCACTCGTTTCATTTATAAACTTCCAGCAACGAGTTTCAATATGATAAACATACACATACACACGTACACATATTCGTCCACGTTATAAACAATGAGATATGTTCAAGAAAAATTGCATTCACTGTTATCGATGGACGATCATTGGTTAATTAGCCAGATCTTATAGAACGATCTGAGATCCTAAGAATCTTTTATATTCTTTCGTAACTATCGATACGGCAACAATTAAACGTAAAGACGATTCCTTCCTGAGAAAAATAATTAAATTGTTTACTGTAACTTACTTGCTTATGTTCCCTTGCAAACTTACTGTGATGAGCGACGGAAGATCCATCCAGAACTTGTGATTGGGAATCATCTCCCAACCTGTTGCTCCTCTTAAAAATTTCAACGCCATTGCTCCACCGACAAAGTATATCCCAGAAAATACGAAGAAATAAATGAGCAACAAGGAACCGGTAGATAAGCCCTTATTTTCCAACAATACTTTACAAGCATAAGGAGATCTCAGTGTCAAACTCTGAAAAAGAATGCATTTTAGGTATTACAAAATGCAAGCACCCTTCTCTGATATATTTAATACTTACGTATTGATTATCTAGCTCTCCTAATGGCAATAACTCTGTGCCACAAGAAGAACAACATTTTAAATTTATTAGAGTCGTAAAATTGTTGTGATTGAGCTTGAGCAGTGCTATAGAATTATCTGCTACGATGGTCGTTTCCTCTACCTTGCCCAAAACCAAGCTAGCATTACCATTTACAACACATAACTGGAACAGAAGCACAGTACCGAATTTAAACGACTGTCGAGATAGAAAAGATCTTTTGAGAGAAAATCGAAATCTTACAGAAACACCACTGCCTTTGTAACAATCGCTCGACTGATTCAACAGTTTCTGATTTGTACAAGGATGAAAGTAATAGGTACTGTTGTTACGTTTTCCTGCGAGAGTGCTGGAAACAAATGTTTTCCTTGCTTTGAAGAATAATGCGTAGAATGCGGATCGAGGCAAGGTTAAAATATTTGGCCTGCGAACCTCGTGTTACTGTTGGCAAGCGGTGACAAGTCGTATCCTTCTCCATCGGCGAACACACACGAGCAAGCCGTTAATTTTCTACATTCCGAATATGTTTGCTTACAAAAACACATTAAAAATAGTCCACAAACGAGCACGATCTTATCTCTCGCAACCATTTTCGACGATTCTAACGAGACGAACAATTACTCTACAAAGTAAGACGATGCTAGTGTAAAAGCAGGGGCAAGGATCGAACGGAGGAAATTAATTACGAAACTTGACAAGGATGGGAATCGTTTAGGGTAGGTGTAATGTAAATATACGTTTTAACATAATCACAGGGTTGCATTTTGTATCCTACGTGAAGTACATCTCGCTCGCGACATAGATGTCGATAGTCGATGCTAGCGCGACGCTACCTTCAGTTCGTTCGGAATAAGTGATGTCGCGCTTCAATTCTTAAATCATTTTTTATCGTGAAAGTTATTATTTAATAGATCGTTAAGTAACATACTCAAGTATACGAGCTGAACGCTTACTAAATCGCGGGACAACGTATTAGTTAAATTCGATGCGAGGAATCAGTTTGTGAGAGTATTTTAACGACAATTAAGAAGCGCTTAATGGTTTCTTGGCGGTCGGGTTCGGCGTGGGCATCAAGGAAAGCATTCGCAGATAGCTCAACTCTCGTTCTCTTCGTTGTTGTTCGTCAGGGGTCTGTTCGAGAAGCAGCGGGCCAGAAATCATGATCAAAGTCGCTCCGATGGGTGCCAGCAGCAAGATGGTAACAACCGATATTTTCACGATATCAATTGCTATCTCCAGTTCCTTGTCGCTCTGTCCGGTCCGTCGCAACCTTTCATAAGCCATCGGTCCCAAAGCTGCCTTCAATCGGATCAGATTGAAGGTAAGCGAGACGCATTATTTCTCTTATCGTTTAAGTATCGCGATGTGCACATAGTTATTTCTATCGTGCACATTCCGATATTCTATGTATAAATGCATGATCATCGAGCGTGTGTTAAGACGTAAATCGTAGATCGAAGGCGTACTTGTAGAGTGCCCTTCGGTAACCAACACACTATCACGAATAGTCGTTCCTTTAACGTGAGTGAAGTTCGCACGGTTGTCAAATATGCCGCCAAGCTTCGTACCTGTGAAACTCATGATTATCTGCCGTCGCTTCGATTCGATGAAAGAGTTGCCTCGTACGAAATCCGCGGAACAATTACTTTACCATTAATCCGAGCAAGATGCACGTCGAGTGACTCCCAAATCTAGACCAAGCCAAATCGTCGAGGTCGATATCAGCACCGATGACTCCGACCAAGATCGGTTGGACCAGTCGCCAAAGGTTATACGACACCCGTCGGAAAGGTGCCGCCTAAACGAAGAAACGCGTTTTTCTCCCGACGGCACGAGGCGAGGTTACTCACGTCGAAAGAGTCCGACAAAATCCTCCAGCCGATCATCGAGACGAACGAGACGAGTAAGCTCGCGAGGAAACCAGCACCGGAGACTATGTACTTGGCCGTTCCCGTCGTGCACATCAAAGAGCCGAGTACAAGGCAGATCATGCGGTACCAGATTACGTATTTCTAATACGATTTGAACGGATCGAAGGAAGATGGGATAAAGAGGACGTCGGAACTAACTCACATAGCTTCGATGAGGGAAGAAGATGAAGCAAATGCCCAAGACGGTTCCCGTTACGATGCCCAATATCGAATCTCGAAGACCGATAAGGACGTAGGACCAGTGCGGCAGCGTGCTCTCCCCTGCGAAATGATATTCCGACATCGGTATAGGTAAGTTCGCAACTCTAGTTACGCTCTCATATACCGTTGGCGAAGGCGATTGAATAGCAGATGACGAAGACGGAGACGATGTGTACGTCGTCGATGCATGCAGCGGTGCACAGGATAGACGCTAGTCCTCTGTCTTCCCCGTAGCCTCGTTCAGCCAGAGCTAGGACACAGTTGACGGTCACCACTGGCGACATGCACCCGAGTATTGCTCTTAGAGAAACGAAGAGGCGTAAGCGACGGCGAGGAAGAGACGGACAGCTGCTGGTCACTCACCCAGTCATGAACGACAAATCCCAATTGTAGTTTAATATGTATTTACAGCACAGAGAGACAACCAGCATTTCCACCGTACAAGGCACCAGGGCGAGGGCCAGTATGAAGTACCGATGAGTTTTCAAGCTCGTGGTCGACAACTGAAGTCCGGCGCGTATCATGATGAACGTTAGGCAGAACGTTCGAATCTTGGACGTGGTCGCAACGCCGAGGTCCTCTTGGATGTTGTACAGACCGGAGTTGCGGACGATCAGCCCGGCGATCAGCATCCCGAACACAGGTGGGATATTTACGTAAGGTATCATAGACAAAGTTGTCCCGAGACAATGCGAGAACAACGCTAGAACGTAGAGACCGAAACCGTCGTTGGTCGGTAGCATCGTGTCCCCTAGTAAGAAGTATAAAACTGTCCATCCCATTACTACGAGTCCCACGTTCGTCGCGAATTCGAACAGATCTGCCCACGTGAAACGTTGCCCCAAATACTTTATAATCGGCTCGGATACGGAACGGTTTCGTAGCCATTCGGGGCATATGGTTATTCGATGACAGAACGTGTACTCTTCCTCGCCGTCGGGTAACGCATTCATTATGACGAGCCTCTTCGTATCCTCGTCCCCTCTCGCTCACCGTCCCGTTAGACGAGCTTACTTCGACGTCTATCGATTGGATCGATCCGATTATACTTGGAACAAGCGTTTTCTACGCCGAGGTTAAGACTTCGAGTCTCTCTTCGGTTGTTTACGAGACAGTTCTGTACGCGCTAGCCTTCAGGAGAGACGGGGTTTGTTCGCGTTGATCGCGTCAATGCGGTTTTAATTATCGCCGGGATAATTTGTAACACGCAAGTAATTTGAACGCGTGTCGTCACCGGGTCTTTGACCCTTGCCATCGCGAGAACCACTTAAATCGGCCGGTATTGGATTTGTGTCTGGCTGGGAAAATAGCACTCTTGGAAAATGAATATCTATTTTGGTTGTTGAAACGACGCAGTCGTTCGTATTCTGATAGGTAGTCGAACGTCGAGTGGATTTCAGGTTATTGAACCTGTTCATTGATCCTTTTCCGACCGCGTGTACCGCGAGTTTCCACCTACACGTGCACGCGCACCACCGACACCTTTTTAACCTCCTGATACGCGATTTCGCCCTTCCTGATTCCATAGTTCCATCCCTGCTTCCGGATTCTCATTTACCGCAGCCGTGCACGAAAATCGAACCGGATCGACCGGGTAGCAACGACGAACAGCTTTCCCGTCTCTCGAATAACGAGACGCGGAAAAGTAAAGGAAACAGAGAGGGAATCCGCGTACTATACTAGTTATTTCTGGCCAATTTGCATACATCTGGCAACTAGTAGTTGACGACAAACTGTCGCAATGCGCAGAGTCGCGACGGTTCATTTCACCGTGTATTCGCGCCGCGAGACGAGCATCAAATAATGACAGAGCGCAAACGTCCACCGGTTAAACCATTTTACGCATCCGACCACCTGACCTTCGTTAATTATCCATCGATCCTCGTCGCTGTTGGACGAGCTCGGAGGAAAAGAGATCCGAACCGTAAAAGACGAGGGAGAAGATGGAAAATATGTAGATAGTGGTACGTCGTCGTTTCGTATGGTATGGTAGTCTGGCTGGTGGTATCGCGTCTCTTGGTCCATTTGCTCGTCCATCCCCGACGCGCCGCGACTGTTTGTCTGTTCGTCTCCATCCCTCGCCTCCCTTTGTCTGTCCGTTAACGAAAGATTCTCTTTGTGCGTTTCAACTAGTTACCGGTACCAACGTGCTTCGACGAACATTGTTTCCCATTTTCCTAACGACGACGTACATACCTTCCCGTCCCTTCCCTCCTACCAGTCTGCGAAGATCCGATCTCTTCGCTCTGAAACGCAACCCTATTCGCCTCCCTTCGAACAATGCCACCCACCGTACCGTGTCACGACCGTAAAACCAATCGAACGTTTTACAGCGTACTCTCGTGCCTGCCAGGGGATAAATTGCGTAGTCGATAGTTTTACACTGGCAAACTCGTTTAGAGTATTAGTTAGAATTTGAATCTCGGAGGAAGGGAGGTTTGGAAACCAAAGAAAGGGAGGGCAAGTTATAAGGCAGAGAACGCGAGAGGCTTTTCTCCTTTTGATGCGCCTACTTAGCGCTAGCGGGGCCCCGTGTTTCCCGTCGCACGCGTGGTGCGAGTACCCTCGAAACTGGCCGTAACGACCGGTAACCCCATCCTAAACGAAGCCTTAAAGGGGTAAGGGCAGGGTAACCGTGTAACAAGAGGCTGTGCAAAGGGGTTGAAGAGTCGCGAAACCATGGAGGGGAACCGGCACCCGGCGACGACGTCTACGAGTACGGTGCGCGCGACGTGCCTCTATTCTAACTCGAGAGTTTTCTTGCACTCGTCATATCCGTCCGCCCCCCTTTCGTTCTCCTTCTTCTTCTTTACGTTTCCGCTTAAAACTGTTTTCCGCTCCGGTCTCGTACCCTCCTTATCGCCGTTCGTCTCTTCAATGCCGAGCTAGATCGAATCGCTTTCATCTTCTTCATTGCCTCTATCTCTGACGAGAGTAGCGGTACACACAATTTCGTTGGAGAGCGACGAAACGCGATATCTCCACGCACCCCTCGCACGGGGCGCAATTTTGTTGACGTATCTAAATTAGAGTCACGTATGAGTCCTCGAAGAAATGGAGAAGGGAGGACGAAAGGAGAGACAGGGAGAGACACGCAGGGACAGGGTGAAACCCTGGAACCAGACCAGACATCGCGATCCGAATTGCATTACACGTGCTCCTAACGAGCGTCTTCGGGTTATCAAGGAGACCTCCCAAATCTCCAAAGAAAATTCTCCTACGTGACAAACGTATTTAACGGTATCTCGATAAGAACGAACGCAACGCTCGGTACAACGTTTCGTAGAACGGTTCGTCGTACAGTAGTTGGTGATCGACGTTACGATCCTTCCCCGTAGCGATCGTTGCGATGTTTCATCTGACGATCGGCACGATGATCAAAATCGGAATATATGAAAATAGAGAACGTATATCGGGAAGGAGAACAAGGAGAATTGAGCGTCACTGGGTTCGGCGCGTTGCGACGCCGCGGCGTCGGACCCGTCGGACGTCGAGAGCCGAGAGGCAGTGCCTCTGTTCGGGTTAGCTTCGCGACGGGTCGGGAGCCGTCGGCTTCGCTTGGCACTGGCATACGAGAGTAGAGGAGCGAGGAGCGTTGCCTTGCCAATGAGTAGCGCGACGCGGTACGCAGCGTAGGTACTTGACGTTCGCTCGGTCGTTATCGGTTGGCGACCAATTCTGTTCGACTGCGTCGTATCAGGTTATCGCGAAGCAACGTTTGCTCTTCCATTGGTCGGAGATGGTACTCGGGGGATCGGATGAAATTGTGTTAAACGCTTGAGAACATGATACGAAACTACGCATATCGATCCGAGGTTCGGGTGAAGTGAAGACTACGCGTAAGCGTAACCGTGCGTGTAGAGTCGTTAGGCAGCGTCGTCGTCGCGACGCGCCGCGATTACGCGCCACTTACCCGATTTGTTTTGACATGTGTGTGCCCTGCCATATTGGATTAACACCTCGCGTATTAAGGACCAAACTGGCGCGAGTTTCGCGCTAACAAGGTACGTCGAAATCCCTTTTCGATCGGTGTTCCGATTCCCCAACGGATGCTGCTACCTGTCCGCGAACCATCCTTCCTCCCGTGTTCGCTTCGATTCATCAACAAGTACTTGAACGCGTTCGCTGTCAGTCGAAAAGTTTATGTAACGACGTCGGAATATGGCCGTTGCGTCCTTTCCATCCGACGGGATCCAGAAAAGCTTGGCTTTCCCGTCGGACGGAACGCCCAGTAGTACGTATTAAACGAGATCGCTGGTTCCAGTTGCAACTGTCATATTTTTCGAGTCAAGGTTCGCGAACGTATTCGCGCGCGACCATTTCACGCATCGGTGATTCGCACGAAGGAAAATTCGCTCGGTCCGATCAGACACCGTCAAAGTATGAAATCCGTAAAATCGTTTACCGGATGGTTCTCGGATCGATCCGTGGTTCGCGGTGTAGAATCTGTTTCCCGACGGGACGACGCCAACGATGCGTCCTTGCTTTCGTTTTTGCGTTTCCACGGTTCTATGGAATCGCCGGTACACTTTCTAAAGAGAGTACTTCTGACAGGACACGATACAGCATAGAGAATGGTACGTGACGCAAGAGCGACAACGAGAATGGAGCAAGGTAGAAGGCAGCTGTGCCGTCGGCTGTCATCGAAGGGTGCGATTTTTTTTAACCCGTGTCGAACGGGTTACGTAATCCAATTGCTCCGTACCCGTGCGACTTGGTCATCGCGGTCGCGGTGATTCACCCCTCGTTCATTTTCGCGATTCTTCTCGCTGCGTTTTGCAACGCGCCAGCCTGTGCAGGAAAAAAACGTTACGCGAGAATGCGCCGGGACGATTCGCGTCATTTCCGCGTGTCTCTTGGACAAAAAAGAACACGCAAACATTGAACGTGACCCGCTTTATCCAACTTATTCTTAGGCATGGGCATTCGTTTAAAACTGTACCCGTGTACCTCCGTGTGTACGAGTGGGTGGAAGAGGGAGTGAGAGAGAGAGAGAGAGAGATAGAGAACGCGCGCGCACGTACACGTATACACGCGTACCGGATCGTCAATAAAAACACTTTTGCTGGATTTCGACGTCGATGACTCCGGACGGCGATTAATCGACGGGAAATAAATTGAAAGTCGGCGTTTAATCCGGCTCTCTTTGCGTCTGGACACTCGAGGAGCTCGTACACGGAACGAGTTTCTTCTTAATTAAAGAACCTAATTGCCGGCAGGAAAAAAGACGGTTCGTCTCGCGAGGTAAAGCGGCTCTTCGAATCGGAGCCACCACGTCACATCTTTTGTCTCGAAATCTCGAGCTAATCTCTCTCGGAACGCCGTATTTCTTAATCCCATTTGCGGCGGTCTCGCAATTCCGTATCGCGTTTAGTTATCGGTGGGTTATTAGGTCGGCCGACCTACGCGTGCCGCGAAACATATTTCGAACACCAGTTATTATTAGAGCTTTTCTCGAACATCCCATTTTCCGTTTTCCGGTACAGTTAGACGTGCCATGGCATCCGACGCTAAGAACGGTTCTTCGGCGAGCTCTAAATTCGGACAAAGAATATGGACCGAATTCGCGTCGGTAGTTTTATCGACGACTCGTTAACGATTCGTTATACGGCGAGGAATAAGCAGCGGCGGAACGGGGCGAAGGAGACGAGGGGGAAAAAAAAAGGACGAAATGTTCTTAACGAACGCAACTACCAGTAGGCATTTATCGGATGCGCGTACTTACATGCGGCCCAGACCGTATTCGCGCTTTTAATGAATAAAACTCGCCCGTTTACGGTCTGTGAAAGAAAATGCGTACGAGTGGAAATGCTGTTTAGGCGTACAGTAAACGTACATTGTGCTTCAGTAGCTGCGATACATATACACCGTCGAGTCGAGTTTTGTTTGAATTTGAATAGCGTCGAGTGTGTGTAGAGATGCCTGCTGGTATATGCTTCCACGCGTATCGTTATCCGACCGAAAAGGTTCGCTCGCGGTTTGATTTTTCGCTTCCGTCTAAATGAAATTCCTTTGCAGTTCGCCTGGCTAGACCCTCGGGGGGAAAGCTCGTTTCATATAAAACGCGTTGCGGTTACACGCGTGCCGATACGTCTCGATTTCTAACGTAACTCGTATATTTATCGCGAACATCGGCGAGACGGGAAGAAAAACTATGCTTAACTGAAGCGAGACAAAAGCTCGGTTGGCATCGTTTTTGCACGCGTGCCGCGATCGACCAGCGTGTGCGAGTCGCAAATGTACCGACCAACGGCTGCGACTCGTCGTTGTCGAAACGGTGAAACGCGGATGTTGCCCGAGCGCAACGAATGGAAGATGTGGGAACGCCGTGTCCTGCATTTCACACAGTTCCTCACCCTTTCCACCTTCTTTTTACCCTTTTTCGGGTCACCTTTGAACTCGGCGTCACGCCTAATCGCTGCGATTCCATTGCCACTCGCAACGAGCTCTCTCTCCCTCTCTCTCTCTCTCTCTCTATCTCTCGCTCGCTGGCTGTTCTCCTCTGTCATCTCTGTTCACCTTCGTTGCGTCAGTCGCGAATTTAGCACGCGTGGGTAATCGACGAGCAACTACGCAATAAAAAGCTGCGAGCGTGTGCGTGTATGCCTACATCGCATTTCTTTCCAAGGTTCGATTCTGATTCATCGGCTCCTTAAATCGATTCTATCTCGGTTTCCTACTTACTTTGCATTTAAAACTCGCTCCGACTCGCTACCGATGGATCAGACGTATCTTTTATTTGTTTGTTCGACCCGAAACTTGTGAAAGGGTGGGAGATTAAACAACGGCTCGGGTAGTTTTCGAGACGAGGAGGAAAAATGAGACGGGAATCCATTAAGCGCGACGTCTCTTATTCGGTGAAAATCTGCACGTCCTGATTACGGTATTTACGAGAGCAACGGCGTGGCGAGGCTCCATTACGAGTTACTCTAGGAAACGGTTCGGCTTCCCTTACACTTTCACGGTGCACACAATTTCGCTGAGAACGACGCAAACGTTTCGGCATCGATTAAGTTTAAGTTGGAAATCGCGTGCCGTTCTTTCTCCTCGCGTTATCGATTTCTTATGAATGGAGGAGTCGAGGAGGCAGGCGAGAGGGGGTAACAAAAAGTACAAGGTTAGGCTGCAACGTGGATGGACGGACGGGTGGATGGACGGATGGATGGATGGACAGAGATGAGCATACGCTGGAGGTTGGTCTCGTAAAATATGCAAGCTGCAATCACGTCTCTTGAATAGAAAAGGTCAGGAACAGAGAGGAAAGGAGAAGGAGCTCGCGAAGTCGAGCAAGGGACAGCGAACAGGGGGAAGGGAGCAGACATTGCGAGAGTAACAGAGAGAGAGAGAGAGAGAGAGAGAGGAGTTGCGAAGTGAAACGTGGAAAAGGGAGGAGGGGAAAGTGGAAAGAATGGCGAGTGGGAGATGATAGCAACGTTGAGAGTACAAGTAGAATCGTGGACCGAGACAGATACTGGCAGGAAGAAAAGGGTCCTGAGAGAGAGAGACGGGGCGAGAGGGGAAACGGGAGAGACAGATAAAGAGAGAGAGCCGAAAAAGAGAAAAGGAAAAAGCGGTATGTACCCTCGACGCGTTTTGAAGAGCACCGGTCGTAATACTGCTGAAACTGCGAGTCCCTCTTCTGGCTCGTTCCGCTGCGTTCGCAAAAAATTTTCATAACTAACCGATCTACCGGCGCGATTTCCCTCTTTTCTTCCGCCGTCCCGTTCGATCCGCCGCAGTGGCCGTCGCCGCGGTACGCGTCCGATGAAATAACTTGGCACCGGACAAGATTCCTCCTCTTCTCGCGGACGGATCGCGCGGAGCCAGCGTAAAACTGACACGGAACGCTTGGTTTGTTTCAGGTCGGGGGCGATCAATGCCCGATGGCGTGGACTGGAACGCAACGCTGGAGAAATCCTGCTCCAGAGTAAGTCGCGTTCTCTAAAAGGGAATATCCGAAATAGGTTGGAGCCTCGGAACGGCCCGTTTCTTTCCCGCTTCGATTTCCGATGCACCGTGCAACGGGCAACTTGACATCGACATTGGCCTTTGACCGGCGGGTATCCGTCTTGAAAACGCGCGAAAATATCTGACGTACGATGAAATAGGAATAGACGCGAACGCGAGCGGCTCGTTCCGACCGTCGAATCGATATTACGTACACTATCTGCCGCGGAAGCTTTCGACCTCGCCGAAGGAGGGACGGACGGAGTCTCGTCGTCGGGCCTCGAGCATCTTTGATCGGGATCCCAGGGTCTCGATTGGACGCCTCGTCGCGATTCTAATTATGAATAATCGAGAACGGTGTCTGAGGAAATTCGCGTCGTAAGCGTTACTCGGTTCGAACGCCGGTGGTGGACTAGCCGCGCCAAAGTATCGATCTTTTTCCTAGAACCGGTGAAATTCGTTTGCTTTGCCTAACGAACCGAGGCATATTGCCTGATCTAGGTTTAATAGCTGGCCGGATCAAATAATCGGTTATCGGTAGCGGCGAAGAACCGAGAATAGGAGAAAAAGGGCCAAGGAGGAGAGTGGAAGCAGTATCGGCAGCAGACCAATTAACTACTTATAGGCAGCATTCATCGGCTCGACAATCGACCGGATCGATTCGGGGTGAATAACTTTTTCCACTCGCGGTCTACGTAGGTGCACGCGTATCGATGCCGCGCGCGATCTGGATCTGGGCTAAACCGTCGTCGTACCGTACACCGTACGGTCTCCGGCATGGTCAACTTTTTGCGAATCTCGCGAGATGCTTCGCCGGCGGCGGATCGATCGGCTAAGAAAATGTTCACCGAATCCGTAGGAACTAAATATGTGCATACGTAAGTAAGCGCTCGACGGCGTGGGAAGTTGAATGCCCTCTGGAAGCACACATACATAGTAGCTGCGCGGAGCCGATGTCACTTTATTCGATAATTGACAGCAGCGAAAATCCTGGCAGACGCCGGCAATCGCATTATCTCCGAAAGCTTCACGGTTAACTTTACGTCCATCCTGGTCGACTCTCGCGTGTCCTCGGAATAGGTCCATGTACGAAGACTCTCCCGAGAGTAACCGACCTCTCTCGCTTAATATCCGAGCCTGATCATATTTTCGTCCCGTCCGAGTTGGAGACAGCTCGAATTTCTATCCGCTCGTCGATTCTCACCATGGTTACCTAAAAACGCGTAATTCGATGGAGAGTTCCCGAGTTGGCTGCGATTAAATTTACCCATTAGCCGACGCGTTAACGCGATTTCCTCGGACCGCCGGAAGGGCTCTCCGCGACGTCTTATTACGTCGATCGATTAATCGGAAGTCATTTCGCCCGAGAGCCAACCAAAAATTGCCAAGCGTACTTATTAAGAGGCAATCCCTCTCGGTCAGAGATTTTATGTAATCTTGACGACACGCTAAATTAAACGCGAGTAACGACGTAACTCGTGTTAGCATATAACTGATATACTGGCTAGGTACGGCCGTCACACCCGTACTCCACCCATTCCGTACACTCCTGTCCACAAGTCTCAGGAGACGGTACCCTGATCACCGGAATTATACCGGGATTCATCGTAACGATTCGTTTTTATCGGTATTACTTCACGTTCTATAGCGCACAGTTTCGTTTATACGATTTTCCACTCGGCTCTTTCGATAGGCAATAAGCGGTCGGAAGCGTGCATCGCGAGCTTGTGAAGAGGAGTGTATGCGTTCTCACACACACACGTACGTAGCCACGGTATATCCGCGAAGAACCGCGCGTTCATCGCGCATCCTTTTAATCGATCGATATACCGAACGAGGAACGATTTGGGTCGATGAACTCTGGTCTCTGGTCTCGTTCCGCGCTCCTCCCGTTCGTTCTACTCTGTTATTTTTTTCGATCGAACGGATTGCCGGCACTCGAGCATCTCGCGTCGGTATTCGCGACAAAATCCAGCTACAAACGCGAACAAAGGCTACGTCTGTCCGATTTCAGTTCGTTCTATGGCCGATGTTTCGAAACACAGTTTTTCGAAAGCTCGAGTCGTCTTCAAATCGGAGGGATAAATGCGATTCGAGCGCGTTTTATCCTACGTACATAGATGTATATGCGGGTTATTGTACGCGTCGTGGGGGACGCGACGAAGCGACGCAGGACACGCGTATCGACCACTGACCCATATTCGAAAACGGCTGCGCCGCTCGATACCCATCGATTTCCTCGATTCGCTAATACGTTTCGCAAACAATGAACCTTGTCCTCCTCCTCCTCCTCCTCCTCCTCCTTCGCTTTCACCTCTCTCGCGCGCGTCTCCACCAGAAATAATCGGGAGGACGAACGAGCGAACGTAAATGGGTAAATAAGTTCCGTTCGCTGGAGAACGTGTAACGAGACGGAAACGTGTATAATTAAACGGCAGAGGGAAGATTGGTTCGCCCGGAAGGTTGGCGACACGAGAGACAAAGTTGAATTTCGGAATTACTGGGGAAAGGGACCAAACGGGGATGGCGCCTACAGCTCGTGTGTAAACAATCCTAATTGGAAGGCAATCCAGAAGCGAGAGGCGCGTCGTTGAATCGGGCCCGAGCTTTTTCCATGGAATTTCTGTCAATTGAACAGTATCAACTGAGAGGGAGACAGAGAAACGGGTTTTCGAAGCTAGTCAGAGAATTCCCTGCATCGTTTCCTTCCTGCCGCTCCTCGCTAATTAATCGACGAGCCCCCCGAACGTTTGATCACTCTTTTCAACTGTCCGCGGACTGTTATCCGCGAAAGTTGTTGGGACAGTTTACGAGTTAAAGCGATAGACGACGCGAGCCTGTCGGTGGTATCGAGAACGGGGAGAGTATCGTGTGACGAAACCGGCTCGGACGTTCTTTGAACCGCAGAAAGTTGACGAGATTAGTTTACGGCGAAACCCGAAACGCGGGATGAAAATCCACTTGCGCGAAGCGTAATAAAACGAGTAAGCACGAGTTAAATAAGCCGAGCTGCCGGGGCGACTCGTTACGACGGAATCCGAATTCGAGAAGTTATCCTGCTCGAAAAGAATGTGGCGCAGCCACGCGATTCTCTCGTTCCAGCAGCTTTCGGCCAATTACGATGTTGAATTATGAATCAAACGTTAACGAGCCTGACGACGCGCTGTTGTGTTCTGTACCCGTGGCGCTGAAAAGCTGAACAAGGAAGCAAACGCGAAGGGAACGAAACGAAAGAAAAGGAGAATGGATTTCTGTTCTTTGTTCCACGGTTAGAACATTTTGCTCGGAGCAAACTCTCTCTCGAAGAACGACCTCTCTCAAATTACTCTCGCTCCTACTCCTGTCTCGATTCTCCAGCGCACCGGGACTCATATTTATTCGGCAATTTTTTAGCTACCCCGACGAGCGTTCCCCTTTGAATTACTACAATTTCCCGTCTTGTTACCACGTCGGACGATCTCTCAGCCCGTTACGAGATCGAACGATCGGTTTCCCTTTCTCTGTAGACGAGTGCGTGCGAGCGTACACTCGATTCTCGACTCGCAGAGAAGCGGAATAGACGCCGCGCCGCGAGGTTGGATCGATGATCAGTTGGAATAACAAGCGCGCTTTTTCTCCACTCGTCGTCGACGACGACAAAGTCTGTTTCTCTCGATGGTCGCGTTTTCGCGATAATTAACAATCGCGATTGCGGCCGTGGCTACGAGCACGACCCCGGCGCGACGCGACTCCGACTCGGCCGAGCAAAGAACCGCATTGCGTCAGTACGCGCGCGGGTCGGGTCGGTTTGTCGGTGCCGCCTCGCAACTTTCCTCGCCGATCTACCCCTCGTTCGCTTTCCTCTCTCTCTCTCTCTCTCTCTCTCTCTCGCTTCTCCCTGACCTCTACGCGTCCTACCCTCTCCGTCCCCGTGCCGACCTCTTCGAACCCCTCCTTTCTTCTTCCTTTTTCGCTTCACCCTCGCCTTCTTCACCGTCTCCTTCTTAGGCGCCGACCTCCTCAACCTCAACGTCACCTTTCCCGTCATTACCAACACCACTACCACCGCGCCTATTACCGTTACCCGTTGCCATTAGCCATCCGGGCAACGCACCTATCTCTCTGTCATCGTTGCCCCGAGTCCAGCCACCACCAGTCGATCGCCTCGATGACGTCCTCCTCTTCGAATGGTTAACTAGACCACGCGTGAGAACGTTGTACTCGAAACGGATACCCACCTCGCGTAGTAGGAAAACGGGAACGATGCTCCAAGACGAGGAGCGCTTAATCGGATGTTACGCGCGCGATCTCTATAGAATCGAAAACGATACGTTTGTTCCAGAGGTGACGATGTACAACGATCGATCGAGCTGCTGGACAAAGTGCTCTCAGAGTACGACGAGCACGAAGCAGAGGGCGAAGGTGGTGGAGGAGCCGGAAGCGGCGCAGGTGTCGGGGATTGCGGCAGCACCACCGAACCGACTATCGCCCTCACGCCCGACGACGAGAGCCCGTCCTTAGGTACTTCCCGATCGATTCTCAATCGATTCCCCCTCCGATCTTTCCTCGTTCGATCGAACGAACGATGAACGATGTTCCGTCAAGATTTGCATATGCACGATACCCGTACATGAATAAAGAGAGAAGCTGACGTTTGGTAAGATCGTATCCTATCGGTAGGGCATCAATCCGAGGACGACGGGTACATGAGCATGAATGGACGGAAGGCGAAAATGGCCCTGGTAGCACTGCGTCCGGTACCAGATTGTCCAGAGCCACAGGATCTCGCCGGTATATCCGGTCAGGAGTTCCCACCGCCGCCTGAGGAGGCCGAACGAATCATCTCCACGCTTTTACCAATGTAAGGCTCGACGATCGAGTCGATTCGCGTTCGAGAAATCAATGCACGTTTCTCTCTAGGGTGTCGCCGAGTAATTCCTCCAAGAGGAGCAGCCACTCGTCGGGTCGTAGGAGCGGACGACAGCAGTGGATGGAGGACAGCATAAGGTGCGGAAACGATAGCGCGGTCACCACCCAAACGACCCTCGTGAGTATACTCGACGAGCCCCGGCGATCCGAGAACGTAGCACGAAATTGTAAATCGTTCCGCACGGCCCATCTTCCCGTCTTCCACCTTGGTCGCGAACGTCGAAGCGGCCACTTCACTCCAAGATGCATTGTATTTTCACGCAGCCTAAAACGCGTCATCAGAGACCTTACGGATGGGAGAACGGGACCGGCGAACGAAATTCGAGATTGGTCGAGCCTCCGAGTCCACCGAGCAAATTTGCCAGCCTCCCGTACGATGGCAAAGTGTCGTTCGGATGGATTCCGCCGAGGACGAATCCGACGACCGTCGAGAAGCACCGCGAGGTCAGGCGTCGCTCCTCCGAAGAGGAGGAGCTCGAGGGTAACGGTAAGAATCATCATCGACAGAGCTACGAGAAGGATCGAGCGTCGACCCGTTCCCGGAAGCAACGTCAGAGCAACGAGATAACCAAGTCGAGCAGCGTGGAGGACCGGCTGTTGATGAATCACGAGGAATCCGAGCAGAGCGGTGCTCGTCGGAGAAACGACTCGGACTCCAGCGAGGATAGATTCTCGAGGAATTCCGAGTCCGAGAGATCTTCGATCCCGAGGTCGAGCTCGGTCAGCGTCGAGAGGTTCTCGATGCGAGCCACCTGCGGCTCGTCCGACTTCTCCAGGGCGAACTCGACCTCGAACGAGAGATTCAATTCCGACTTTTCGATAGCCGTGGCCAGCGCCAGTTCCAACGATCGCGTGTCCATGCCCACCTCCGATCCTTTCTCCATTCGAAACCTAGACTTCGTCTCGTTCTCGTTGCCCACGCGGGCCGATTCGAACGAGAGATTCTCGGCACCGACTTCGGACAGGTGCTCCGAGGAGCGATACTCGGACGTGTTCTCGACCAGGAACTCGGACTTCTCTACCAGAAATTCGACCGACTTCAGAACCCAGTCCGAGGAAGAACGATTCTCGGACGATTCCCTGGAGGAACTGCTGCCACCCCCACCCGCGATCAGCAAGAGGCATTCGATAGCTTGGGAGGTGTCCCTCGAGGACGATCCCCTCTACGCCCCGGGGAGTACCAAGGTGATAGGCAGAAGACGACGTAAAAGCAGTGACGTATCCAGTAAGTGTTGAGATTTTTCGTTCAAGTGACTGCGAATGCCAAACCCTGCGTCAATTTCCAGGCGTCGGTTCGGCGTCGAAGCTTCGCGATTTCGACGATTGGCAGGATCCGCGATTGTCTACCACCGACGACGATCTAGTCTCGCCGTACTCGGATTCGTCGACGAACGAACTCGATCAGATACGGCCGCAAGAACTGACGAAGAACGGTACCTACGTGATCCGTCGCGGTCGAAAGAAAGAGCGGAAGAGTTTACCGAAACCGCCTACCAAAACTAAAAGCTTGTCGTTCGATAACAGCGAAGAGAATCGATTGTCCGACGGGAAGCGATACTCGAGCACGTTCGACAATATCAGGAGTCTCCTGAGGGACAATAAAATGAACGAACCGATGGACGATGCACCGGCCGTGGAGTATGCGGCAGCGGTTCCGCCGGATCTAGTCAGAGTGGTCTCGCTTCCGGCGATCAACGACGAGACCGGAAATTGGCCTAGAGAGTTGGAGGTGACGGTGGAAGAAGAGGAATCGTCAGACCTTTCAGACAAGGATAAGAAGACGCGAGAAACGTCTTCGTCGTTATCGTCGAACGATAAACCCTCGAGAGGCGAAACGAATCACGGATCGAGTAGCGCGTGCAACGGCGTCTCTCTCTCGGCTTCGAACAGCTATTCGATAGGGTTTGCGACCGGTGGGACCGCGGACGAGCCAACTGCTCCGAGGAAATCACCAAATCCGAACGAGCACCGGCACGCGTCCAAGATTCCGGTCAATTTGTTGATCGAAGATCAGATCGTGAAGAAGGCGTTGAAGGAGAACCGTCGACAGCTGGAAAAGGTGAGCGACGCTATCAAGGAGATCGAGAGCGTGAAAAATAGCGAGTCTTACTCGGAGGGGAAGCAGCGGTGGACGCGGACCGAGGACACGAGACAGGGAAGGAAGAGCAGCCTCGAGAGCGAGTCGAACGACCGGGAACGGAGTATTCTGTTGGACTCGCGATGCAAGAAGCAGCAGCTGGACTCCGACCTCGATTCGGACACCGCGTCGAAGACCAGCCCCGAGACGACGGATATCGAGGGGAGACGAGCTAACGGGACGGAACTGTATTCATCGGGAAAGCGGCAGAGACGTCAGAACGGCGTCGAGGGCCACAAGAACGATCAAAAGCAAATCGAGAACGTGATCGATGCCATTCTCGAAGACTCGAAAAACCCAGACTTTCAGGTAAACGTTCGATCCACGATTTGTTTCACTAATTATTAGACCGCGAATATCATATGCAATTACGTGCTATATATCAAAAACTAACTGCATGTTTCAATGTTTAAATGAAACGTTTTCTTCTACATCCTTTTACTACGATCCATATAAAAATCCTCTCTGGTAATTATACGTGGAAATTGCGATTCGCTCGCAGGTGAGCGTGGAAGTCCTCGAGTTTCCCCCGTTGCCACCGTCGCCCGTCGAGGAGGCGGACGAGGAATGCGCGGATATCGGGCAAAGCTCGGTGATCGCTCCAAAACCGAAAGCTAGCAATCGCACGATGGAGTACAGACCCCGAGTACCACCTCATCGGGCACCCATCGCCAATCACTCGTTCTCCGATTCGAAGGATCAGCAAACGTCTCTCAATACCAGATCTATGGACGCTGGATTTACTCGGGGTAAAAGAACGCCTACTGCCACCAATTCCAGACGAGAGGTGGGTGTTTGATCCTTTATGTCGGATCGGGTAAAGGAACGAGATTGCATCCGCATACGTGATACGCACATACGCATCGCTTATCAATAATCGCGCGATAGCGCAAAGTAATCGATGGTTGTCTAGCAGCAAATACCCGTCGAGCGAAGGACTTTGCCCACGGATCTGCCCGGTCCATCGAGAAGGCGGCCCTTCACGAAGAGGCACTCGCCGTCGTCGATGGAACCGTGTTCCTCCGCCGGCAACGGCAGCTGCGCCAACAGCGTTACCGCGAACGGTGCCAGTAACAGCAGCAACAACAACGGTTCCACCATCGGAAACATGGCGACTGGTAGTAGCGGGATGCAGACCTCTTGTTCGCTTCCGGAGACTCCCGTCTTCGCCAGGGGAAGCGACATTCCTAGAACCCCTCAACACGCGAGCAATCCTACTCAGATGCGCCGGCAACCTGGTTTGTACGCTCCAACCATGGCTACCACCGGGTAAGAATACGCGGCCCAGCGTCGCCCCGACTTCTCCATTCGCCAAGCGAAAGATGGAAAAGAGGACGTGGTAAATGGGAAATGGGGCGTTTGAACGTGCCAACAGGTATCGGAGGAACAACCCGGGGCTGGAACAGGCGATAATCGGGACAGAGCTGTTGCGATTAGCCGGGGGACCGAATCGCGGGTGGTATCCGACCAGGAAGGCGAATCAACCGCGACCGGCGTCGATCGAGCACCTAGAGCGATTGAACAACGCGTACGATCCACGGTTGGCCGGTACCGGGGACCAGAGGAAACCGTTGACACTGCCTACCAACATCACACCGAACAAATACTTCGGCCAAAGTAAGCACAGCTCTGCCTCCAGCACTCGCGAGGCGCTACGGAGGGTCACTAGCTTGCTCATCAAGAAAGGTAAGCGCTGGAATTTGCGCTATTACAAAGAGACGACACCAGCGATCGCCTGTGTCCTTTGGAAAACACGATGTCCCTCGTTCTAGCGCGGATTTCCACGGCTCGGTTTGCAATCTACAATGTCCCAAGCGAAACGAGTCGCGTCGCTCGCGCGCCATTCGTTTCGCTTCCAATTGTAACGCCGGCCGTATTGTTCGTTCGAATCGAACCGTGAAAATTCGCCTCGAGCCAGCTCGGTTCGCCGCGAATCAACGTTTTTTGATCCTCCGCGTATACCAGCTATCTACCATTCTGTCTTATTCGTTCCGACAGATCAAAAAACAGTTTTTCGCTGAGCAAACGCATTCGCAGATCGAGCACGCTTTTCAAAATGACGATTGACGGTTCACGCTTAGATTTAAACGGTGTATTCTCCGATCAAGTCAAGTTAATCTTTGTCATCGTTGTTCCAAAAGCTCAGCCGGATCGAGTTTTCGAACGGTGTCACGTATTTTCGGAATCTACGGAGTAAACAAGCGCGAACAATTTCCCTGACTCGTTTCGTACGTGACCTTTCGTGGCACTCAGTGTCACCAATTTAATTCTTTGCTATGTCATTCATCTCTTTCGTAGAATTATTTATTTCCTCCTCTCGCGCATTCCATCGTAAGAAAGAGATGAAATTTCTTTCCTACGATCGACTGCTAATTGTATGTATATTTATACTGTATTGAGTGTTTCGTTTTCAAATTCTTTCCGTGTCGCGCAAGCTGGCATCCGACTGCTTCTTTTACGAGTCCGACAGCATTTCCTACTTTGATATCTATGCTTTGGCAGTTTGCAAAGTTGCTCTGGCTGTTACATTTTTGATTCGAACTTGCCTCGCGACTCGCGTCCAAGGGGAAGCTCGATGGTTTTCCGGTGAAACCACGCGCCTCCCCCGTTCCGCGCGTCAGTGCAGAGTGGTTCCATCTGGTGAAAGCTCCGCAACTGAACAGTTGGGACGAATCAACTGACCTTGAAAATATGAACGCGCGAGAGACAAGAAGGATGGGAGAACGCGGCCTCCTCCGCATGTTACATGCCGCAGGCTAGTCTCCGTACATTTCCACCCGGCCGCGACTGCCTTTTCTTTCTCCCGTTGCTCGAGACCGACGAGCTCTATTCCTTTTACCTCGATTTATCGCGTCCTCTTCACCCTTCGTATCATAGTCGCCGATCGAAAGACCTCGCGTGCGTGTAGAACGTTTCGAAAATCGTCTTACGAGACGTTTTCGAGTCTTGTAACGCGGACTGGGTTCGCCTGTGTGTGCGTTCATTTCTTTTCGAACAGCGAGGCCGGTCAGGGCAGTGGAAGAACCGGTATAATAAGAATGGTAAACGCCGAAGACTCACTAGAAAACTAGGGACCGAGGATTTCCACTTTTCAACCGTATCTCCCGAGTACGAACCGTTATGTCTCGCGTTCTTTCTCCCTCGTGTCGTCCACTATTGATTCAACCATATATACATACGTATGTACGTACGTACGTACATAGGAGAAAATGTTCATTCATTCTTGCTTTCCTGATGTTCTCTTCGACACCGCGCCTCCACGGCTCCGTAGAGACGTCGCGTATCGATCTCGTCGCGAACAACCGCTTGATGCACGCGCGAGTACTCGGAATTATTTATTAGCTAAATCGACTTTGAAAGTGAAGAATTTGGCGGCGACATCGATGGAGAAAGCGAGCGCGGCGTCGTCGGATCAATACTCATCCATGTGGACGATACCGTCTCTCTCGTTTACGCGTTGCATTCGCATCGCTGCGTTTTCCATCTTCCAATTTCGAACCATTTCCAGAGCCAACCACCGTTCTACGATCATCGGCTAACTGCGAACGGTGGCAATTCGTAATACGATTCGATTCGTAGAGCAAGGAGGAACGCGGCGACGCTCGTTCGAGCGTTATCGGTGACAATTTGCGTATTTATAGAACGCGGCGGCGGTATCGAAAAAGAGGTTCCGCGCATGACCACGCGATAACGCTTATCCTTTGTTCAACTTTTCGCCTCGGACATTCTCTTTAGAGTTTCTCGAGAAACGCCGTCGATCGTTTCCGACGGTGACCGTCGGTCGAAGGGTAAAGGCGATTGACCAGCGGGGATGTTTTCGGTTTAGGTAGTAAAGGGATGGACGAGTAGGCAGGCAAGGGCGTGTGGGTAGCCGGAAGGACACCAGAAGGGGTGACTAGCTCGCCCCACGCCGCGCAGGGATGGTGGTAATCGTTAGTCTCGTCTGCTGTTGCCGGTTGCCGTTGCTCTGTCTAGCAACCTTCTCTCCTGAATCCGGGGTCGTTCCCTCGACTCTCTGCTCTACACGCATACAAAATACCTCCCGACACACGTACTCCTCTGCCTCTTATCACTCTCCGTTCTTTCTTTCTACTCGTTCGTTTCCATTCTTCCTTTTCTTCTATTCTCTCGTCGTCGAGAAAAATCCTTTCATCGATTAATCTCGCTCGACGGCATTGTCAATTGACGAGAAGGTTTCAGAGTCTCGACGATTATTGCGGGGAAGAAAGGATTTTTTTACTTATCCTGTTCTCGATCTCTATGGATCGAGCAGAGGAGCGAGTGGAACATTTGGTCATCCGAGAACGTCAGCTGGTTTCAGTATGTCGGGATTCCGTCCGTCCTTGGGCAAACTTAATCTCGCTTTCCCTTCGCCTTATCTCTGGCCAGCGTTCCCCGAATTTCTGTCGTTTCTACCTCGAGATAGACTGCACTGTGTCCCCTCGTGAGTAAAAATCGACCGATCCGGAGGTGATCGTCGCTTCTAAGATCATTTCGTATTCGATCGCGGTTCACGAAATCTCGTCCGATACAGATTACGTTGTTTAGAGAGAGATAAGAACCTTAGTCAATGTGGCATTGAACAAGAACCCTAGGACAAGGCCGTGACCTCGATCGAAGGTAACGTTCTCGGTGTTTCATTCGTTTCTCGTCGAACGATTTCGCTGGAGTACCCGGGAAACGAGTTGGAAAGTAGAGAGGCTCTGGGAAAACTGCCATCCGTATTGTAATCTGAATTATTCGTTATCGGTTATCGACTCGTGTCGTGCGATTCTCGCGTCACGAGGAAACAGGCTTTCTCCGCGGTGGGACAGAATAAAAATCGCGAGACGATTAATAAGAGGATGTAAACTCGTTCGAAGTTGAAAAACCGTCGGCGGAGAGTGAGCCCCCTCCGTTCTGTCATCTCGGAACAGCCGTTGAAACAAGATATGGAGAGGATATTATTATCCTCCCAGAAATAGAGTCGAGAAACACGGTACAAAGTTAGGCCGGTGGCCGAATAAACTCGCGATAGAAAGGACTTTAGCCTACGGTCGATCGATGACGATTCGCAATACCACGGAGGAGAGAACACGGACACTGCCGTTTTAGCAGTGTCTTCTCGGTGGTATAATATAATAGAATTGTCCGATACCAATTAGCATGTGTACGCACACGCGTTGCTCGTACATGCGTTCATTGTTGCGCTTATTTGTCGCTCGGTTATCGGTGTGTTTTTTATAGATTCGCGATGGCGCTTCTTTTTCCTTGTTTTGTTGCGAGCTCTGACGAAACGTTGATAAATCGGATTAAGAGTCGTCGAGCAATCGAACCCTGTCTTCGCTGTCGCGTTGTTTATCTGGCATGACGGTTTTGTTTGGCCGATCTCCAAATTCCCATTTTTTACTTTGATCGCATCGATTCTTTTACCAGCTTTTCACATTGAGAAGCGACCCGTCCGTTGAGACTCTGAAGCGAGGCTCGTGTCGTTTCTTTTTCAGGAAGCGGAAGCAAAGATGGGAAGAGCGGGAAGGACAACGCGTCACCGTGTGGACCTTACGCCGGTAAGTGACCGCGAATCGTTGCAGCGTATCAGGTGAAACGAGCTCTCCGGCGTTCGAACGTTCATCCTTGTACTCCTCGACTTCGGTATTCTTTATCTCGTTGCGTCGGTAATGGCTCGGGTACGCGCGCGCTCGTCAACAGACACAGGACACGGTATTCCAAAATATCCGTTCCCTTTCCACGAGGAGTTCGCTAATGTTCGCCTCGGCCTTAGTCTGGACAGCTAACAGCGATTCTATTAATATTCTTTGGTTATTTTTGAAAACCGCCTCTTACCGAGAAGAACGGCTACGCGTCTTCAACGGTCTAAACAAGGATCCCGTTAGGATAGGTGTATTTTCGTGGATCGCGATGCAAAGTAGCGAGTATCAGACACGCCCAGCCACGACAGTTTCCGTCTACTAGCCGCGCTACCACTATTCGTATTGATCCGTACGCATCGTTCACTCGTCTCTGGCATCGCGCCGCTTCTTTTCTTACTTCCTGCCTTCCTCCTTCGAGGCGTAATTACCTGCGGGCAACGAAGAAAGGAGAGACGGATTTTCCGCGTTCGATCGTCGAACGGTGACGATCGTTGCTCGTGTCGGGCGTCGTGCCGCGTCGAAGGAAAGGCCGGAAAGAGCGTCGATTATTATGCAGCCGGCAGACAATTGCCAACGGCTTCCCCTATTAACATACAGCGAGAGTAAAAACGTGGATGAAATACGTGACAAATCCCTGCATATGCTCCAGTACAGCGACGGCGCGGCCGGACGGGGGGAGGAGAGCGATAGGCCGATGAGAGAAGGAAAGAGTGACGTTTCTGTTTCAGCGGCCGAGTGCGGGGACGCGCCGAAGAAAAAGGGATTCTTCAAGGGTTTCTGGAAAAGGTCTCGCCACTACTCGCTGGAGAACCAATAGCCCAGGTCAGGCGGTGGTAAGGTGACGAGCAGCCAGGAACGACAGAGACGAGGGCCGCCGCGGCAACGACACCGTTACCGGCAACACGTCGCGACGACCACGACCGCTTTCACGCACAGTGCTTGCTGCTGCATCCTACAGTAGCCTCTCCACTCGGTGTCCCCGTAAACCGAACCGAACCATCGCCGCCAACGATCTGTCTACCGTGCGATCGCGTTCTTTCCTCCGCGATCCACGTCTCCTTCAGGTTTTAATTCCGCCCGAGATCGGTGCCACGTCCAACGAGCTACGTCGGTCCGTGGGTACATTTCTTTCATACGCATTACGTCTTTATTTCTCCGCCTCAGCGTCGACTGTCCGGTCTCATTCATTTTCTCGTGTTCGTCGTTTCGTTCTGAAACGGTGTTTGGTTCATTTGCCGGCTTGATCGGCGATCATCCGATCGGGACGAACGGTTAGGTAGAAACGAACGAGGGCTACTGGGTCGATCGGCGATGCAAAAAAAGAAGTACAACGGGTCGGTTTTCTGACGATCGATCGACCGATCGCGAGCACCCTAGGCGTTTCTTTTTCCGGTATCCAACATTGCGCGAGATCCATCTCTATAGACGCTCGATAATAAAAACTTATTAACTATCCTGTATCCGAGTACTCGAGAGTATTTAACACACGTACGTACTTTAGGCCGCGTTAGGTGACGTATGCCACAAGCAATAGAGAAAGGGGAGAGCGTAGGAAAACGTATTATAGAAACAATATCTTATACAAGGATCACGACCATGTTAAAAGAGTACCCTTGTACTAAACATATTTATTATTAATATCCGAACGATTTGTAACTGTACGAACGAAACGTTTCGCGCGTTTCGTATGTTACCTTATAAATATTATTTTGATTACATCATCACTTGTGTGTCATCAAAATCACCATCATCATCATCATCGTCATCATCGCCATCGTCATCTTCATCGTAGTTCCTTTTATCGTTCCTGTCGGCATCGACTTCGTATCTTTTTTTATCACTCATCCCCGTCGATGAGCCTTTCTGTTCAGTTTTCGGTCTTCGCCCCTTTAAGGATGTACTGCCTATACAGTCAATCCCAAAAGCTTATGTACCTTAGAAAAAGGTACTGACATCCTCTACAAG